GGCTCCTCTGGTGTCCCTACCAATGCCTTTCTGTGCTGTGCTCATGAATTGTTCCATATGCCCACTTATCTTAGCCGCAATGATGCCTGACATGAGCTTCCATGTTGTGGAGAGACAGGTTATTGGCCGGTAGTTGGAGGGGACTGCACCTTTGACAGGGTCCTTCATGATCAGGACCGTTCGCCCTTCGGTTAGCCATTCTGGGTGAGTCCCATCTCTCAGCAGCTGGTTCATTTGTGCTGCTAGGCGCTCATGGAGTGATGTGAGTGTCCTTAGCCAGTAGGCATGGACCATATCAGGGCCAGGTGCTGTCCAGTTTTTCATACCTGAGACTCTTTCTCGGATGTCTGCCTCTGTGATGGTAACTGAGTTCTGTTCTGGGAGGTGGCTGTGCTCCTCTCTCAGGGACACCAGCCATTGTGCACTTCTGTTATGTGCTGCATCCTTCTCCCATATGTTCTTCCAGAACTGTTCAGTTTCCAGCCTCGGTGGATCTGCTCCCCTATACATATATATGTATATACATATATATGTATGTATATATATACACATATATGTATATATATGTGTGTATATATATATGTGTATATATATGTGTGTATATATATGTGTGTATATATATGTGTATATATATGTGTATGTATATATATATGTGTGTATGTATATATATATATGACTGTAGACGCTGCTCCCTCTTTACCTCAACGGTCTGATACAGCTCTGACTGCAGACGCTGCTCCCTCTTTACCACAACGGTCTGATACAGCTCTGACTGCAGACGCTGCTCCCTCTTTACCACAACGGTCTGATACAGCTCTGACTGCAGACGCTGCTCCCTCTTTACCACAACAGTCTGATACAGCTCTGACTGCAGACGCTGCACTGATTCGCCTGTCAATCTCACACTCCATCCTTCACTCACTGAGAACAAGACCCCGAGATACTTTATCTCTTCCACTTGAGGAAGGACCAGGACCTGGAGAGCACCATGGCCTCAGATTTGGAGGTGCTGATTCTCATCCCAGCCGCTTCACACTCGGCTGCAAACCGTCCCAGTGCATGTTGTAGGTCCTGGTTCGTTGGAGCCAACAGGACAACATCATCTGCAAACAGCAGAGATGAAATCCTGTGGTCTCTGAACCGGACCCCCTCTGGCCTCTGGCTGTGGTCTCTGAACCGGACCCCCTCTGGCCTCTGGCTGTGGTCTCTGAACCGGACCCCCTCTGGCCTCTGGCTGTGGTCTCTGAACCGGACCCCCTCTGGCCTCTGGCTGTGGTCTCTGAACCGGACCCCCTCTGGCCTCTGGCTGTGGTCCTGGCCAAAATGCACCGGGAACAGGTCTGACTTACTGCTGATGAACACAATCTGGCTCCGGTCATACAGGGACCGGACGGCCCTCAGCAGAGGACCCCGGACCCCGTACTCCCGGAGAACCCCCCAAAGAACACCCCGGGGAACACGGTCGAACGCCTTCTCCAAATCCACAAAGCACATGTGGACAGGTTGGGCGAACTCCCATGAACCCTCGAGTATCCGATGGAGAGTATACTCTCTATCATTCTACAACTGCAACAGTCTCAGCTCACAGCAGCAGAGGTGGAGTAGCCTCTGGGTGGAGCAGGACGGGTCACAGCAGCAGAGGTGGAGTAGCCTCTGGGTGGAGCAGGACAGGTCACAGCAGCAGAGGTGGAGTAGCCTCTGGGTGGAGCAGGACAGGTCACAGCAGCAGAGGTGGAGTAGCCTCTGGATGGAGCAGGACGGGTCACAGCAGCAGAGGTGGAGTAGCCTCTGGGTGGAGCAGGACGGGTCACAGCAGCAGAGGTGGAGTAGCCTCTGGGTGGAGCAGGACGGGTCACAGCAGCAGAGGTGGAGTAGCCTCTGGGTGGAGCAGGACAGGTCACAGCAGCAGAGGTGGAGTAGCCTCTGGGTGGAGCAGGACAGGTCACAGCAGCAGAGGTGGAGTAGCCTCTGGGTGGAGCAGGACGGGTCACAGCAGCAGAGGTGGAGTAGCCTCTGGATGGAGCAGGACAGGTCACAGCAGCAGAGGTGGAGTAGCCTCTGGGTGGAGCAGGACGGGTCACAGCAGCAGAGGTGGAGTAGCCTCTGGGTGGAGCAGGACGGGTCACAGCAGCAGAGGTGGAGTAGCCTCTGGGTGGAGCAGGACAGGTCACAGCAGCAGAGGTGGAGTAGCCTCTGGGTGGAGCAGGACAGGTCACAGCAGCAGAGGTGGAGTAGCCTCTGGGTGGAGCAGGACAGGTCACAGCAGCAGAGGTGGAGTAGCCTCTTGGTTCGGACCATTTTCTCTGCTCTGGTTCAAAGTAAAATGCTTCATTAGCATTATTCATAAAGTTAGCATTTCCTCTGGATTTTCTCCTGATCCACTTGGTTCGGACCATTAGTCCAGTGTAAAACCATGAATCCTCTCTGCTCTGGTCTGGACCAGTGTAAAACCATGAATCCTCTCTGCTCTGGTCTGGACCAGTGTAAAACCATGAATCCTCTCTGCTCTGGTCTGGACCAGTGTAAAACCATGAATCCTCTCTGCTCTGGTCTGGACCAGTGTAAAACCATGAATCCTCTCTGCTCTGGTCTGGACCAGTGTAAAACCATGAATCCTCTCTGCTCTGGTCTGGACCAGTGTAAAACCATGAATCCTCTCTGCTCTGGTCTGGACCAGTGTAAAACCATGAATCCTCTCTGCTCTGGTCTGGACCAGTGTAAAACCATGAATCCTCTCTGCTCTGGTCTGGACCAGTGTAAAACCATGAACACTGTACTGCAACAACAACAAAATAAAAAATGTAAAGCACAGAACAGCAACTGCATTGTTAGCATGGAGCTAGCCTGTTAGCATGGAGCTAGCCTGTTAGCATTGAGGTGGCCTGTTAGCATTGAGGTGGCCTGTTAGCATGGAGCTAGCCTGATAGCATTGACCTCTGTGCAGGTGTACCGCCGGGAGCAGGAGGAGGAGATGAAGGTGCGGATGGCGACCGTCCCCCGCATGAAGAGGTACAGGCGCTGGATGAAGAACGAGGGGCCGGGACGCCTCACCTTCGCTGAGGACTGAGACTCACAGGGACCGGCTCATAGGGACCGGCTCACAGGGACCGGCTCACAGGGACCGGCTCATAGGGACCGGCTCACAGGGACCGGCTCATAGGGACCGGCTCACAGGGACCGGCTCACAGGGACCGGCTCACAGGGACCGGCTCACAGGGACCGGCTCATAGGGACCGGCTCACAGGGACCGGCTCATAGGGACCGGCTCACAGGGACCGGCTCACAGGGACCGGCTCATAGGGACCGGCTCACAGGGACCGGCTCATAGGGACCGGCTCATAGGGACCGGCTCACTGGGACCGGGTCACAGGGACCGGCTCACAGGGACCGGCTCACAGGGACCGGCTCATAGGGACCGGCTCATAGGGACGCTCTTTCACAGCTTCACCAGAGAGAGACCAGTCTCTCTCTGGTCTCTCTCTCTAGTCTCTCTCTAGTCTCTCTCTAGTCTCTCTCTGGTCTCTCTCTCTGGTCTCTCTCTCTGGTCTCTCTCTCTGGTCTCTCTGCTGGTCTCTCTCTCTGGTCTCTCTCTCTGGTCTCTCTCTCTGGTCTCTCTCTGCTGGTCTCTCTCTGGTCTCTCTCTCTGGTCTCTCTCTCTGGTCTCTCTGCTGGTCTCTCTCTCTGGTCTCTCTCTCTGGTCTCTCTCTGCTGGTCTCTCTCTGGTCTCTCTCTCTGGTCTCTCTCTCTGGTCTCTCTGCTGGTCTCTCTCTGCTGGTACATGTGTGGATGGATTGAGGTCCAGGTCTGTGAACAATGAGACGTTTCCTTTAAACTGATCCTGGTTCGCGGTGGTGGAGGTCTGCAGGTTGGGACACGCCCACATGGACACGCCCACATGGACACGCCCACATGGACACGCCCATACGGACACGCCCACATGGTCTACATTGTAATAAAGTCTCAGTTTATTTCTTTCTTTGGAAACTTTGATTCAGACTTTATTTTACTTGAATAAACACAAAGACATGGTTTATGTGGACAACAAACGATAGACAATATAATGCTGGTCTCTCTCTGGTCTCTCTCTGGTCTCTCTCTGGTCTCTGGCCCCTCTCTGGTCTCTCTCTGGTCTCTCTCTGGTCTCTCTCTGGTCTCTCTGGCCCCTCTCTGGTCTCTCTCTGGTCTCTCTCTGGTCTCTCTCTGGTCTCTCTGGCCCCTCTCTGGTCTCTCTCTGGTCTCTCTCTGGTCTCTCTGGCCCCTCTCTGGTCTCTCTCTGGTCTCTCTCTGGTCTCTCTCTGGTCTCTCTGGCCCCTCTCTGGTCTCTCTCTGGTCTCTCTCTGGTCTCTCTCTGGTCTCTCTGGCCCCTCTCTGGTCTCTCTCTGGTCTCTCTCTGGTCTCTCTGGCCCCTCTCTGGTCTCTCTCTGGTCTCTCTCTGGTCTCTCTCTGGTCTCTCTGGCCCCTCTCTGGTCTCTCTCTGGTCTCTCTCTGGTCTCTCTCTGGTCTCTCTCTGGTCTCTCTGGCCCCTCTCTGGTCTCTCTCTGGTCTCTCTCTGGTCTCTCTCTGGTCTCTCTGGCCCCTCTCTGGTCTCTCTCTGGTCTCTCTCTGGTCTCTCTGGCCCCTCTCTGGTCTCTCTCTGGTCTCTCTCTGGTCTCTCTCTGGTCTCTCTGGCCCCTCTCTGGTCTCTCTCTGGTCTCTCTCTGGTCTCTCTCTGGTCTCTCTGGCCCCTCTCTGGTCTCTCTCTGGTCTCTCTCTGGTCTCTCTGGCCCCTCTCTGGTCTCTCTCTGGTCTCTCTCTGGTCTCTCTGGCCCCTCTCTGGTCTCTCTCTGGTCTCTCTCTGGTCTCTCTGGCCCCTCTCTGGTCTCTCTCTGGTCTCTCTCTGGTCTCTCTCTGGTCTCTCTCTGGTCTCTCTCTGGTCTCTCTGGCCCCTCTCTGGTCTCTCTCTGGTCTCTCTCTGGTCTCTCTCTCTGGTCTCTCTCTCTGGTCTCTCTCTGGTCTCTCTCTGGTCTCTCTCTGGTCTCTCTCTGGTGTCTTGCTGGTCTCTCTTTGATTCTTGTCTAAGAAAAATGAACAAAACGAAGCGTCACATTTGAGGATTGACCTCTGACCTGTCCTGGCACAGGACTGAGGTCGTGGTCATCGGGGCCCTCTGCCTCGGGGCCCTGGGGCCTGGGTCACAGGGGCCCCTCGGCTGGGGTTGGGGGAGGCCAGGGCCACGTCCTTCTGCACACTCACTCCTTTGGCCCCGGACCCAGCTTTGGTCTTTGTGGGTCTGGGCTCCGGTTCTGTGGAGAAAGGGTTTCACACCTCAGTCCTGGGTCTACAGCCTCAGTCCTGGGTCTACAGCCTCAGTCCTGGATCTACAGCCTCAGTCCTGGGTCTACAGCCTCAGTCCTGGATCTACAGCCTCAGTCCTGGGTCTACAGCCTCAGTCCTGGGTCTACAGCCTCAGTCCTGGGTCTACAGCCTCAGTCCTGGGTCTACAGCCTCAGTCCTGGGTCTACAGCCTCAGTCCTGAGTCTACAGCCTCAGTCCTGGGTCTACAGCCTCAGTCCTGGGTCTACAGCCTCAGTCCTGGGTCCACAGCCTCAGTCCTGGATCTACAGCCTCAGTCCTGGGTCTACAGCCTCAGTCCTGGGTCTACAGCCTCAGTCCTGGGTCTACAGCCTCAGTCCTGGGTCTACAGCCGCAGTCCTGGATCTACAGCCTCAGTCCTGGATCTACAGCCTCAGTCCTGGGTCTACAGCCTCAGTCCTGGGTCTACAGCCTCAGTCCTGGGTCTACAGCCGCAGTCCTGGATCTACAGCCTCAGTCCTGGATCTACAGCCGCAGTCCTGGATCTACAGCCTCAGTCCTGGGTCTACAGCCTCAGTCCTGGGTCTACAGCCTCAGTCCTGGGTCTACAGCCGCAGTCCTGGATCTACAGCCTCAGTCCTGGGTCTACAGTCTCAGTCCTGGGTCTACAGCCTCAGTCCTGGGTCTACAGCCTCAGTCCTGGGTCTACAGCCTCAGTCCTGGGTCTACAGTCTCAGTCCTGGGTCTACAGTCTCAGTCCTGGGTCTACAGCCTCAGTCCTGGGTCTACAGCCGCAGTCCTGGATCTACAGCCTCAGTCCTGGGTCTACAGCCTCAGTCCTGGGTCTACAGCCTCAGTCCTGGGTCTACAGCCTCAGTCCTGGATCTACAGCCTCAGTCCTGGGTCTACAGCCTCAGTCCTGGATCTACAGCCTCAGTCCTGGATCTACAGCCGCAGTCCTGGATCTACAGCCTCAGTCCTGGATCTACAGCCTCAGTCCTGGGTCTACAGCCTCAGTCCTGGGTCTACAGCCGCAGTCCTGGATCTACAGCCTCAGTCCTGGATCTACAGCCGCAGTCCTGGATCTACAGCCTCAGTCCTGGGTCTACAGCCTCAGTCCTGGGTCTACAGCCGCAGTCCTGGATCTACAGCCTCAGTCCTGGGTCTACAGTCTCAGTCCTGGGTCTACAGCCTCAGTCCTGGGTCTACAGTCTCAGTCCTGGGTCTACAGCCTCAGTCCTGGGTCTACAGCCGCAGTCCTGGATCTACAGCCTCAGTCTGGGTCTACAGCCTCAGTCCTGGGTCTACAGCCTCAGTCCTGGATCTACAGCCTCAGTCCTGGGTCTACAGCCTCAGTCCTGGGTCTACAGCCGCAGTCCTGGATCTACAGCCGCAGTCCTGGATCTACAGCCTCAGTCCTGGATCTACAGCCGCAGTCCTGGATCTACAGCCTCAGTCCTGGATCTACAGCCTCAGTCCTGGATCTACAGCCTCAGTCCTGGATCTACAGCCTCAGTCCTGGGTCTACAGCCGCAGTCCTGGATCTACAGCCTCAGTCCTGGGTCTACAGCCTCAGTCCTGGATCTACAGCCTCAGTCCTGGGTCTACAGCCTCAGTCCTGGATCTACAGCCTCAGTCCTGGATCTACAGCCGCAGTCCTGGATCAACAGCCTCAGTCCTGGATCTACAGCCTCAGTCCTGGGTCTACAGCCTCAGTCCTGGGTCTACAGCCGCAGTCCTGGATCTACAGCCTCAGTCCTGGATCTACAGCCGCAGTCCTGGATCTACAGCCTCAGTCCTGGGTCTACAGCCTCAGTCCTGGGTCTACAGCCTCAGTCCTGGGTCTACAGCCTCAGTCCTGGGTCTACAGCCTCAGTCCAGACCTGGCTTGGGCTCTGGGGCGGGGGCCAGGGAGCGGTTTGGCAGGAGGTCTTCCAGGTCGATCAACACCTGGTTGGTGGTGTTTGCGTTGTTCCTGCGGTTCTTCTCCTCGTCTCGAGCCTGAGGAGAAACATCAGGAGAAACATCAGGAGGAGCATCAGGAGAAACATCAGGAGGAGCATCAGGAGAAACATCAGGAGGAGCATCAAGAGAAACATCAGGAGGAGCATCAGGAGAAACATCAGGAGAAACATCAGGAGAAACATCAGGAGAAACATCAGGAGGAGCATCAGGAGAAACATCAGGAGGAGCATCAGGAGAAACATCAGGAGGAGCATCAGGAGAAACATCAGGAGAAACATCAGGAGGAGCATCAGGAGGAGGAGCATCAGGAGAAACATCAGGAGGAGCATCAGGAGAAACATCAGGAGGAGCATCAGGAGAAACATCAGGAGAAACATCAGGAGGAGCATCAGGAGAAACATCAGGAGGAGCATCAGGAGAAACATCAGGAGGAGCATCAGGAGAAACATCAGGAGGAGCATCAGGAGAAACATCAGGAGAAACATCAGGAGGAGCATCAGGAGAAATATCAGGAGGAGCATTAGGAGAAACATCAGGAGGAGCATCAGGAGAAACATCAGGAGAAACATCAGGAGGAGCATCAGGAGAAACATCAGGAGGAGCATCAGGAGAAACATCAGGAGGAGCATCAGGAGAAACATCAGGAGAAACATCAGGAGGAGCATCAGGAGAAACATCAGGAGGAGCATCAGGAGAAACATCAAGGAGGACCATCAGGAGGAGCATCAGGAGAAACATCAGGAGAAACATCAGGAGGAGCATCAGGAGAAACATCAGGAGGAGCATCAGGAGGAGCATCAGGAGAAACATCAGGAGGAGCATCAGGAGAAACATCAGGAGAAACATCAGGAGGAGCATCAGGAGAAACATCAGGAGGAGCATCAGGAGAAACATCAGGAGGAGCATCAGGAGAAACATCAGGAGAAACATCAGGAGGAGCATCAGGAGAAACATCAGGAGGAGCATCAGGAGAAACATCAGGAGGAGCACCAGGAGAAACATCAGGAGGAGCACCAGGAGAAACATCAGGAGGAGCATCAGGAGAAACATCAGGAGGAGCATCAGGAGAAACATCAGGAGGAGCATCAGGAGAAACATCAGGAGAAACATCAAGAGGAGCATCAGGAGGAGCATCAGGAGAAACATCAGGAGGAGCATCAGGAGAAACATCAGGAGGAGCCTGAGCTCCTCCTGATGGCCTTCGTATCCTGCTCCACCTCTTGAGAGCGGTGGTTGTTAGTGGTGGTTAGTAAGTAAGTAATCTTTATTTATATACCGCCTTTTCACTGCAGATCTGAGTCTCAAAGCGGCTTACAACTTTTCATTTTGGGCATTAGTCTCTCACTCCACACAGAGATGGGAGGGGCCAGTACACGAGATGCATGCCAGACCATGTTTTTAGTGGTAGGGGAAACCGGAGTACCCAGAGGAAACCTACGCAGACACGGGGAGAACATGCAAACTCCACTCAGAAAGGCCCTGGTCCGACCGGGATTCGAACCCAGGACCTTCTTGCTGAGAGGCGAGAGTGCTATCCACTCAGCCACCGTGCTCTTTCTGCGGTGGTTGAGAGTGCGGTGGTTGAGAGTGTGGTGGTTGTGGTGGTTGAGAGTGCGGTGGTTGAGAGTGCGGTGGTTGAGAGTGCGGTGGTTGAGAGTGCGGTGGTTGAGAGTGTGGTGTTTGTGGTGGTTGAGAGTGTGGTGGTTGAGAGTGTGGTGGTTGAGAGTGTGGTGAGTGCGGTGGTTGAGAGTGCGGTGGTTGAGAGTGCGGTGGTTGAGAGTGTGGTGGTTGAGAGTGTGGTGGTTGAGTGTGGTGGTTGTGGTGGTTGAGAGTGTGGTGGTTGTGGTGGTTGTGGTGGTTGAGAGTGTGGTGGTTGAGAGTGTGGTGGTTGAGAGTGCGGTGGTTGAGAGTGCGGTGGTTGAGAGTGCGGTGGTTGAGAGTGCGGTGGTTGAGAGTGTGGTGGTTGAGAGTGTGGTGGTTGAGAGTGTGGTGGTTGAGAGTGTGGTGGTTGAGAGTGTTGTGGTTGTGGTGGTTGAGAGTGCGGTGGTTGAGAGTGTGGTGGTTGTGGTGGTTGAGAGTGTGGTGGTTGAGAGTGCGGTGGTTGAGAGTGCGGTGGTTGAGAGTGCGGTGGTTGAGAGTGTGGTGTTTGTGGTGGTTGAGAGTGCGGTGGTTGAGAGTGTGGTGGTTGAGAGTGCGGTGGTTGTGGTGGTTGAGAGTGTGGTGGTTGAGAGTGTGGTGGTTGAGAGTGTGGTGAATGAGAGGGTGGTGGTTGAGAGTGTGGGGGTTGAGAGTGTGGGGGTTGAGAGTGTGGTGGTTGTGGTGGTTGAGAGTGAGGTGGTTGTGGTGGTTGAGAGTGCGGTGGTTGAGGTGGTTGAGAGTGTGGTGGTTGAGAGTGTGGTTGTTGAGAGTGTGGTGGTTGAGAGTGCGGTGGTTGAGAGTGCGGTGGTTGAGAGTGCGGTGGTTGAGAGTGTGGTGTTTGTGGTGGTTGAGAGTGTGGTGGTTGAGAGTGTGGTGGTTGAGAGTGTGGTGGTTGAGAGTGCGGTGGTTGAGAGTGTGGTGGTTGAGAGTGTGGTGGTTGAGAGTGTGGTGGTTGAGAGTGTGGTGGTTGAGAGTGCGGTGGTTGAGAGTGTGGTGGTTGAGAGTGCGGTGGTTGTGGTGGTTGAGAGTGCGGTGGTTGAGAGTGTGGTGGTTGTGGTGGTTGAGAGTGTGGTGGTTGAGAGTGCGGTGGTTGAGAGTGTGGTGGTTGTGGTGGTTGAGAGTGCGGTGGTTGAGAGTGTGGTGGTTGTGGTGGTTGAGAGTGTGGTGGTTGAGAGTGCGGTGGTTGAGAGTGCGGTGGTTGTGGTGGTTGAGAGTGCGGTGGTTGAGAGTGTGGTGGTTGTGGTGGTTGAGAGTGCGGTGGTTGTGGTGGTTGGGAGTGTGGTGGTTGAGAGTGTGGTGGTTGTGGTGTTTGAGAGTGTGGTGGTTGAGAGTGTGGTGGTTGAGAGTGTGGTGTTTGAGAGTGCGGTGGTTGAGAGTGTGGTGGTTGTGGTGGTTGAGAGTGCGGTGGTTGAGAGTGTGGTGGTTGTGGTGGTTGAGAGTGTGGTGGTTGAGAGTGTGGTGGTTGAGAGTGCGGTGGTTGAGAGTGCGGTGGTTGTGGTGGTTGAGAGTGCGGTGGTTGAGAGTGTGGTGGTTGTGGTGGTTGAGAGTGCGGTGGTTGAGAGTGTGGTGGTTGAGAGTGCGGTGGTTGTGGTGGTTGAGAGTGTGGTGGTTGTGGTGTTTGAGAGTGTGGTGGTTGTGGTGGTTGAGAGTGTGGTGGTTGTGGTGGTTGAGAGTGTGGTGGTTGTGGTGGTTGAGAGAGTGGTGGTTGAGAGAGTGGTGGTTGAGTGTGGTGGTTGAGAGTGTGGTGGTTGAGAGTGCGGTGGTTGAGAGTGTGGTGGTTGAGAGAGTGGTGGTTGAGAGTGTGGTGGTTGAGAGTGTGGTGGTTGTGGTGGTTGAGAGAGTGTGGTGGTTGATAGTGCGGTGGTTGTGGTGGTTGAGAGTGTGGTGGTTGTGGTGGTTGAGAGAGTGTGGTGGTTGAGAGTGCGGTGGTTGAGAGTGCGGTGGTTGTGGTGGTTGAGAGTGTGGTGGTTGAGAGTGTGGTGGTTGAGAGTGTGGTGGTTGAGAGTGCGGTGGTTGAGAGTGTGGTGGTTGTGGTGGTTGAGAGTGCGGTGGTTGAGAGTGTGGTGGTTGTGGTGGTTGAGAGTGCGGTGGTTGAGAGTGTGGTGGTTGAGAGTGTCGTGGTTGAGAGTGTGGTGGTTGAGAGTGTGGTGGTTGAGAGTGTGGTGGTTGAGAGTGCAGTGGTTCAGAGTGCGGTGGTTGAGAGTGTGGTGGTTGAGAGTGTGGTGGTTGTGGTGGTTGAGAGTGTGGTGGTTGAGAGTGCGGTGGTTGTGGTGGTTGAGAGTGCGGTGGTTGTGGTAGTTGAGAGTGTGGTGGTTGAGAGTGCGGTGGTTGTGGTGGTTGAGAGTGTGGTGGTTGTGGTGGTTGAGAGTGCGGTGGTTGAGAGTGTGGTGGTTGAGAGTGTGGTGGTTGTGGTGGTTGAGAGTGTGGTGGTTGTGGTGGTTGAGAGTGTGGTGGTTGTGGTGGTTGAGAGTGTGGTGGTTGTGGTGGTTGAGAGAGTGTGGTGGTTGAGAGTGCGGTGGTTGTGGTGGTTGAGAGTGTGGTGGTTGTGGTGGTTGAGAGAGTGTGGTGGTTGAGAGTGCGGTGGTTGAGAGTGCGGTGGTTGTGGTGGTTGAGAGTGTGGTGGTTGAGAGTGTGGTGGTTGAGAGTGTGGTGGTTGAGAGTGTGGTGGTTGAGAGTGTGGTGGTTGAGAGTGCGGTGGTTGAGAGTGCGGTGGTTGAGAGTGTGGTGGTTGAGAGTGTGGTGGTTGTGGTGGTTGAGAGTGTGGTGGTTGAGAGTGCGGTGGTTGTGGTGGTTGAGAGTGCGGTGGTTGAGAGTGTGGTGGTTGAGAGTGTGGTGGTTGTGGTGGTTGAGAGTGTGGTGGTTGTGGTGGTTGAGAGTGTGGTGGTTGTGGTGGTTGAGAGTGTGGTGGTTGTGGTGGTTGAGAGAGTGTGGTGGTTGAGAGTGCGGTGGTTGTGGTGGTTGAGAGTGTGGTGGTTGTGGTGGTTGAGAGAGTGTGGTGGTTGAGAGTGCGGTGGTTGTGGTGGTTGAGAGTGTGGTGGTTGAGAGTGTGGTGGTTGAGAGTGTGGCGTTGAGAGTGTGGTGGTGGTTGAGAGTGTGGTGGTTGAGAGTGCGGTGGTTGAGAGTGCGGTGGTTGAGAGTGTGGTGGTTGAGAGTGTGGTGGTTGTGGTGGTTGAGAGTGTGGTGGTTGAGAGTGCGGTGGTTGTGGTGGTTGAGAGTGCGGTGGTTGAGGTGGTTGAGAGTGTGGTGGTTGAGAGTGTGGTGGTTGAGAGTGCGGTGGTTGAGTGCGGTGGTTGAGAGTGCGGTGGTTGAGAGTGTGGTGGTTGAGAGTGTGGTGGTTGAGAGTGCGGTGGTTGAGAGTGCGGTGGTTGAGAGTGCGGTGGTTGAGAGTGCGGTGGTTGAGAGTGTGGTGGTTGAGAGTGCGGTGGTTGAGAGTGTGGTGGTTGAGAGTGTGGTGGTTGAGAGTGTGGTGGTTGAGAGTGCGGTGGTTGTGGTGGTTGAGAGTGCGGTGGTTGAGAGTGTGGTGGTTGTGGTGGTTGAGAGTGCGGTGGTTGAGAGTGCGGTGGTTGAGAGTGCGGTGGTTGAGAGTGCGGTGGTTGAGAGTGTGGTGGTTGAGAGTGCGGTGGTTGAGAGTGTGGTGGTTGTGGTGGTTGAGAGTGTGGTGGTTGAGAGTGGTGGTTGAGAGTGCGGTGGTTGTGGTGGTTGAGAGTGCGGTGGTTGAGAGTGGGTGGTGTGGTGGTTGAGAGTGTGGTGGTTGAGAATGTGGTGGTTGAGAGTGCGGTGGTTGTGGTGGTTGGGAGTGTGGTGGTTGAGAGTGTGGTGGTTGTGGTAGTTGAGAGTGTGGTGTTTGAGAGTGTGGTGGTTGAGAGTGTGGTGATCGAGAGTGTGGTGGTTGAGTGTGGTGTTTGAGAGTGGTGTTTGAGAGTGTGGTGGTTGAGAGTGCGGTGGTTGAGAGTGCGGTGGTTGAGAGTGCGGTGGTTGAGAGTGTGGTGGTTGTGGTGGTTGAGAGTGTGGTGGTTGTGGTGGTTGTGGTGGTTGAGAGTGTGGTGGTTGTGGTGGTTGAGAGTGCGGTGGTTGAGAGTGTGGTGGTTGTGGTGGTTGAGAGTGTGGTGGTTGAGAGTGCGGTGGTTGAGAGTGTGGTGGTTGTGGTGGTTGAGAGTGCGGTGGTTGAGAGTGTGGTGGTTGTGGTGGTTGAGAGTGCGGTGGTTGAGAGTGCGGTGGTTGAGAGTGTGGTGGTTGAGAGTGTGGTGGTTGACAGAGTGGTGGGTGTGGTGGTTGTGGTGGTTGAGAGTGTGGTGGTTGAGAGAGTGGTGGTTGTGGTGGTTGAGAGTGTGGTGGTTGTGGTGGTTGAGAGTGTGGTGGTTGAGAGTGTGGTGGTTGTGGTGGTTGAGAGTGTGGTGGTTGAGAGTGCGGTGGTTGAGAGTGTGGTGGTTGTGGTGGTTGAGAGTGTGGTGGTTGTGGTGGTTGAGAGAGTGGTGGTTGTGGTGGTTGAGAGTGTGGTGGTTGTGGTGGTTGAGAGTGTGGTGGTTGAGAGTGCGGTGGTTGAGTGTGGTGGTTGAGAGTGTGGTGGTTGAGAGTGTGGTGGTTGAGAGTGTGGTGGTTGAGAGTGTGGTGATTGAGAGTGTGGTGGTTGAGAGTGTGGTGGTTGAGAGTGTGGTGGTTGAGAGTGTGGTGGTTGAGAGTGTGGTGGTTGAGAGTGTGGTGGTTGAGAGTGCGGTGGTTGAGAGTGCGGTGGTTGAGAGTGCGGTGGTTGAGAGTGCGGTGGTTGAGAGTGCGGTGGTTGAGAGTGCGGTGGTTGAGAGTGCGGTGGTTGAGAGTGTTGTGGTGGTTGAGAGTGTGGTGGTTGTGGTGGTTGAGAGTGCGGTGGTTGTTGGTGGTTTCTGAGTGTGGTGGTTGTGGTGGTTTCTGAGTGTGGTGGTTGAGAGTGTGGTGGTTGAGAGTGCGGTGGTTGAGAGTGCGGTGGTTGTGGTGGTTGAGAGTGCGGTGGTTGTGGTGGTTGGGAGTGTGGTGGTTGAGAGTGTGGTGGTTGTGGTAGTTGAGAGTGTGGTGTTTGAGAGTGTGGTGGTTGAGAGTGCGGTGGTTGAGAGTGCGGTGGTTGAGAGTGTGGTGGTTGAGAGTGCGGTGGTTGAGAGTGCGGTGGTTGAGAGTGCGGTGGTTGAGAGTGCGGTGGTTGTAGTGGTTGAGAGTGCGGTGGTTGTGGTGGTTGAGAGTGTGGTGGTTGAGAGTGTGGTGGTTGAGAGTGTGGTGGTTGTGGTGGTTGAGAGTGTGGTGGTTGAGAGTGCGGTGGTTGAGAGTGCGGTGGTTGAGAGTGCGGTGGTTGAGAGTGTGGTGGTTGTGGTTGAGAGTGTGGTGGTTGTGGTGGTTGAGAGTGCGGTGGTTGTGGTGGTTGAGAGTGCGGTGGTTGAGAGTGTGGTGGTTGTGGTGGTTGAGAGTGTGGTGGTTGTGGTGGTTGAGAGTGTGGTGGTTGTGGTGGTTGAGAGCGTGGTGGTTGAGAGTGTGGTGGTTGAGAGTGTGGTGGTTGAGAGTGCGGTGGTTGAGAGTGCGGTGGTTGAGAGTGCGGTGGTTGAGAGTGCGGTGGTTGAGAGTGCGGTGGTTGAGAGTGCGGTGGTTGAGAGTGTGGTGGTTGTGGTGGTTGAGAGTGTGGTGGTTGAGAGTGTGGTGGTTGAGAGTGTGGTGGTTGAGAGTGTGGTGGTTGAGACTGCGGTGGTTGAGAGTGTGGTGGTTGTGGTGGTTGAGAGAGTGGTGGTTGTGGTGGTTGAGAGTGTGGTGGTTGTGGTGGTTGAGCGTGTGGTGGTTGAGAGTGCGGTGGTTGAGAGTGTGGTGGTTGAGAGTGTGGTGGTTGAGAGTGTGGTGGTTGAGAGTGTGGTGGTTGAGAGTGCGGTGGTTGAGTGTGGTGGTTGAGAGTGCGGTGGTTGAGAGTGTGGTGGTTGAGAGTGTGGTGGTTGAGAGTGTGGTGGTTGAGAGTGCGGTGGTTGAGAGTGCGGTGGTTGAGAGTGTTGTGGTGGTTGAGTGTGGTGGTTGTGGTGGTTGAGAGTGCGGTGGTTGAGAGTGTGGTGGTTGAGAGTGCGGTGGTTGTGGTGGTTGAGAGTGTGGTGGTTGAGAGTGCGGTGGTTGAGAGTGCGGTCGTTGTGGTGGTTGAGAGTGCGGTGGTTGTGGTGGTTGAGAGTGCGGTGGTTGAGAGTGCGGTCGTTGTGGTGGTTGAGAGTGCGGTCGTTGTGGTGGTTGAGAGTGCGGTGGTTGTGGTGGTTGGGAGTGTGGTGGTTGAGAGTGTGGTGGTTGTGGTGGTTGAGAGTGTGGTGGTTGAGAGTGTGCGGTGGTTGAGAGTGCGGTGGTTGAGAGTGCGGTGGTTGAGAGTGCGGTGGTTGAGAGTGTGGTGGTTGTGGTGGTTGAGAGTGTGGTGGTTGAGAGTGTGGTGGTTGAGAGTGCGGTGGTTGAGAGTGCGGTGGTTGAGAGTGCGGTGGTTGAGAGTGTGGTGGTTGAGAGTGTGGTGGTTGAGAGTGTGGTGGTTGAGAGTGTGGTGGTTGTGGTGGTTGTGGTGGTTGAGAGTGTGGTGGTTGAGAGTGTGGTGGTTGAGAGTGTGGTGGTTGAGAGTGTGGTGGTTGAGAGTGTGGTGGTTGTGGTGGTTGAGAGTGTGGTGGTTGAGACTGCGGTGGTTGAGAGTGTGGTGGTTGTGGTGGTTGAGAGTGTGGTGGTTGAGAGTGTGGTGGTTGAGAGTGTGGGTGGTTGAGTGTGGTGGTTGTGGTGGTTGAGAGTGTGGTGGTTGTGGTGGTTGAGAGTGCGGTGGTTGAGAGTGTGGTGGTTGTGGTGGTTGAGAGTGCGGTGGTTGAGAGTGTGGTGGTTGAGAGTGTGGTGGTTGAGAGTGTGGTGGTTGAGAGTGTGGTGGTTGAGAGTGTGGTGGTTGAGAGTGCGGTGGTTGAGAGTGCGGTGGTTGAGAGTGCGGTGGTTGAGAGTGCGGTGGTTGAGAGTGTGGTGGTTGAGAGTGCGGTGGTTGAGAGTGCGGTGGTTGAGAGTGCGGTGGTTGAGAGTGCGGTGGTTGAGAGTGTTGTGGTGGTTGAGAGTGTGGTGGTTGTGGTGGTTGAGAGTGCGGTGGTTGAGAGTGTGGTGGTTGAGAGTGCGGTGGTTGTGGTGGTTGAGAGTGCGGTGGTTGTGGTGGTTGGGAGTGTGGTGGTTGAGAGTGTGGTGGTTGTGGTGGTTGAGAGTGTGGTGGTTGAGAGTGCGGTGGTTGAGAGTGCGGTGGTTGAGAGTGCGGTGGTTGAGAGTGCGGTGGTTGAGAGTGCGGTGGTTGAGAGTGTGGTGGTTGTGGTGGTTGAGAGTGTGGTGGTTGAGAGTGTGGTGGTTGTGGTGGTTGAGAGTGTGGTGGTTGAGAGTGTGGTGGTTGAGAGTGCGGTGGTTGAGAGTGCGGGTGGTTGAGAGTGTGGTGGTTGTGGTGGTTGAGAGTGTGGTGGTTGTGGTGGTTGAGAGTGCGGTGGTTGAGAGTGCGGTGGTTGAGAGTGCGGTGGTTGTGGTGGTTGAGAGTGTGGTGGTTGAGAGTGCGGTGGTTGTGGTGGTTGAGAGTGCGGTGGTTGTGGTGGTTGGGAGTGTGGTGGTTGAGAGTGTGGTGGTTGTGGTAGTTGAGAGTGTGGTGGTTGTGGTGGTTGAGAGTGTGGTGTTGAGAGTGCGGTGGTTGAGAGTGCGGTGGTTGAGAGTGCGGTGGTTGAGAGAGTGGTGGTTGTGGTGGTTGAGAGTGTGGTGGTTGAGAGTGTGGTGGTTGTGGTGGTTGAGAGTGTGGTGGTTGAGAGTGCGGTGGTTGAGAGTCTGGTGGTTGTGGTGGTTGAGAGTGTGGTGGTTGAGAGTGCGGTGGTTGAGAGTCTGGTGGTTGTGGTGGTTGAGAGTGTGGTGGTTGAGAGTGTGGTGGTTGAGAGTGTGGTGGTTGAGAGTGTGGTGGTTGAGAGTGTGGTGGTTGTGGTGGTTGAGAGTGCGGTGGTTGTGGTGGTTGAGGTGGTTGAGAGTGTTACAGGTTGAGCATTTCCTCTAAGATGTTAAAAAGTTAAAAATATAAAATAGGTTTTTGTTAAAAGGTTTATGTTAAGATTATATGTTAAAAATTGTTAAAACCCTAGAAGGTTAAAGTTAAACGGTTAAAATTCATAAGTTAAAGAAAGATTCTAAAATGCTTTAAGTTACTGTAATTCTCATAATGATTAAAGACTGTAAAAAGCTTTTCCGAATATCTGAGTTTAAAAACACGTAGAGCAGCTTTAAAATCAGAGACTCTCCCATTATTTAGACTGCTCTGAGGTCATCAGTCTGAGTTTGAGTGCAGGTGTGGGACCATGTGGGACCATGTGGGACCATGGGAGAACACAGATTTTCTACCTGCAATCTGTGGAGGACTGTAATGTTCATTTTCTATTATTATTTTGTTCATTAAATGGACTTAAAAGGAGTCTCCCTGGTCTCAGTGTCAGAAGAACCCCCTCCCCCTTACCCACCCCCCTCTGGCCGCCCATTGGTCAGGGCTGTCGGAGTTTAAATCCTAAATAAAAATGTCGATCCAAACTGTCTCTGTGAGATGTATGTTACTGCCCCCTGCTGTTTATTCTAATGTTTGTCACAAGGCGCCGTAAAGATGCCGCTGAAAAGATGGCGGCGCAAAGATGGCGCCGTAAAGATGGCGCCGTAAAGATGGCGCCGCAAAGATGGCGCCGTAAAGATGGCGCCGCAAAGATGGCGCCGTAAAGATGGCGCCGTAAAGATGGCGGCGTGTCAAGAGCTCTGGTGTGTGCCGTCTTCTCTGGTAAACACTGTGGGAGTCTTGCAGTTTTTCCAATGTGGTTTTACTGCAAATGGCAAATACAAATCATCAGGAGGACCATCAAGAGGACCATCAGGAGGACCATTAGAAGGACCATCAGGAGGACCATCAGGAGGACCATCAGGAGGACCATCAGGAGGACCATCAGAAGGACCATCAAGAGGACCATCAAGAAGACCATCAGGAGGACCATCAGGAGGACCATCAGGAGGACCATCAGAAGGACCATCAGGAGGACCATCAGGAGGACCATCAGGAGGAGCATCAGAAGGACCATCAGGAGCACCATCAAGAGGACCATCAAGAGGACCATCAGGAGGACCATCAGGAGGAGCATCAGAAGGACCATCAGAAGGACCATCAGGAGGACCATCAGGAGGACCATCAGGAGGACCATCAGGAGGAGCATCAGAAGGACCATCAGGAGGAGCATCAGAAGGACCATCAGGAGGACCATCAGGAGGACCATGGTTGAGAGTGTGGTGGTTGAGAGTGTGGTGGTTGAGAGTGTGGTGGTTGAGACTGCGGTGGTTGAGAGTGTGGTGGTTGTGGTGGTTGAGAGAGTGGTGGTTGTGGTGGTTGAGAGTGTGGTGGTTGTGGTGGTTGAGCGTGTGGTGGTTGAGAGTGCGGTGGTTGAGAGTGTGGTGGTTGAGAGTGTGGTGGTTGAGAGTGTGGTGGTTGAGAGTGCGGTGGTTGAGTGTGGTGGTTGAGAGTGCGGTGGTTGTGGTGGTTGGGAGTGTGGTGGTTGAGAGTGTGGTGGTTGTGGTGGTTGAGAGTGTGGTGGTTGAGAGTGCGGTGGTTGAGAGTGCGGTGGTTGAGAGTGCGGTGGTTGAGAGTGCGGTGGTTGAGAGTGTGGTGGTTGTGGTGGTTGAGAGTGTGGTGGTTGTGGTGGTTGAGAGTGCGGTGGTTGTGGTGGTTGGGAGTGTGGTGGTTGAGAGTGTGGTGGTTGGTGGTGGTTGAGAGTGTGGTGGTTGAGAGTGCGGTGGTTGAGAGTGCGGTGGTTGAGAGTGCGGTGGTTGAGAGTGCGGTGGTTGAGAGTGTGGTGGTTGTGGTGGTTGAGAGTGTGGTGGTTGTGGTGGTTGAGAGTGTGGTGGTTGAGAGTGCGGTGGTTGAGAGTGCGGTGGTTGAGAGTGCGGTGGTTGAGAGTGTGGTGGTTGAGAGTGTGGTGGTTGTGGTGGTTGAGAGTGTGGTGGTTGAGAGTGTGGTGGTTGAGAGTGTGGTGGTTGAGAGTGCGGTGGTTGTGGTGGTTGAGAGTGTGGTGGTTGAGAGTGCGGTGGTTGAGAGTGCGGTCGTTGTGGTGGTTGAGAGTGCGGTGGTTGTGGTGGTTGAGAGTGCGGTGGTTGAGAGTGCGGTCGTTGTGGTGGTTGAGAGTGCGGTGGTTGGGAGTGTGGTGGTTGAGAGTGTGGTGGTTGTGGTGGTTGAGAGTGTGGTGGTTGAGAGTGCGGTGGTTGAGAGTGCGGTGGTTGAGAGTGCGGTGGTTGAGAGTGCGGTGGTTGAGAGTGTGGTGGTTGTGGTGGTTGAGAGTGTGGTGGTTGTGGTGGTTGAGAGTGTGGTGGTTGAGAGTGCGGTGGTTGAGAGTGCGGTGGTTGAGAGTGCGGTGGTTGAGAGTGTGGTGGTTGAGAGTGTGGTGGTTGAGAGTGTGGTGGTTGTGGTGGTTGAGAGTGTGGTGGTTGAGAGTGTGGTGGTTGAGAGTGTGGTGGTTGAGAGTGTGGTGGTTGAGAGTGTGGTGGTTGTGGTGGTTGAGAGTGTGGTGGTTGAGACTGCGGTGGTTGAGAGTGTGGTGGTTGTGGTGGTTGAGAGTGTGGTGGTTGAGAGTGTGGTGGTTGAGAGTGTGGTGGTTGAGTGTGGTGGTTGTGGTGGTTGAGAGTGTGGTGGTTGTGGTGGTTGAGAGTGCGGTGGTTGAGAGTGTGGTGGTTGTGGTGGTTGAGAGTGCGGTGGTTGAGAGTGTGGTGGTTGAGAGTGTGGTGGTTGAGAGTGTGGTGGTTGAGAGTGTGGTGGTTGAGAGTGTGGTGGTTGAGAGTGTGGTGGTTGAGAGTGCGGTGGTTGAGAGTGTGGTGGTTGAGAGTGCGGTGGTTGAGAGTGTGGTGGTTGAGAGTGTGGTGGTTGAGAGTGCGGTGGTTGAGAGTGCGGTGGTTGAGAGTGCGGTGGTTGAGAGTGCGGTGGTTGAGAGTGTTGTGGTGGTTGAGAGTGTGGTGGTTGTGGTGGTGGTGAGAGTGCGGTGGTTGAGAGTGTGGTGGTTGAGAGTGCGGTGGTTGTGGTGGTTGAGAGTGTGGTGGTTGAGAGTGCGGTGGTTGAGAGTGCGGTGGTTGTGGTGGTTGAGAGTGCGGTGGTTGTGGTGGTTGGGAGTGTGGTGGTTGAGAGTGTGGTGGTTGTGGTGGTTGAGAGTGTGGTGGTTGAGAGTGCGGTGGTTGAGAGTGCGGTGGTTGAGAGTGCGGTGGTTGAGAGTGCGGTGGTTGAGAGTGTGGTGGTTGTGGTGGTTGAGAGTGTGGTGGTTGTGGTGGTTGAGAGTGCGGTGGTTGAGAGTGCGGTGGTTGAGAGTGCGGTGGTTGTGGTGGTTGAGAGTGTGGTGGTTGAGAGTGCGGTGGTTGTGGTGGTTGAGAGTGCGGTGGTTGTGGTGGTTGGGAGTGTGGTGGTTGAGAGTGTGGTGGTTGTGGTAGTTGAGAGTGTGGTGGTTGTGGTGGTTGAGAGTGTGGTGTTGAGAGTGTGGTGGTTGAGAGTGCGGTGGTTGAGAGTGCGGTGGTTGAGAGAGTGGTGGTTGAGAGTGTGGTGGTTGAGAGTGTGGTGGTTGAGAGTGTGGTGGTTGTGGTGGTTGAGAGTGTGGTGGTTGAGAGTGCGGTGGTTGAGAGTCTGGTGGTTGTGGTGGTTGAGAGTGTGGTGGTTGAGAGTGTGGTGGTTGAGAGTGTGGTGGTTGAGAGTGTGGTGGTTGTGGTGGTTGAGAGTGCGGTGGTTGTGGTGGTTGAGGTGGTTGAGAGTGTTACAGGTTGAGCATTTCCTCTAAGATGTTAAAAAGTTAAAAATATAAAATAGGTTTTTGTTAAAAGGTTTATGTTAAGATTATATGTTAAAAATTGTTAAAACCCTAGAAGGTTAAAGTTAAACGGTTAAAATTCATAAGTTAAAGAAAGATTCTAAAATGCTTTAAGTTACTGTAATTCTCATAATGATTAAAGACTGTAAAAAGCTTTTCCGAATATCTGAGTTTAAAAACACGTAGAGCAGCTTTAAAATCAGAGACTCTCCCATTATTTAGACTGCTCTGAGGTCATCAGTCTGAGTTTGAGTGCAGGTGTGGGACCATGTGGGACCATGTGGGACCATGGGAGAACACAGATTTTCTACCTGCAATCTGTGGAGGACTGTAATGTTCATTTTCTATTATTATTTTGTTCATTAAATGGACTTAAAAGGAGTCTCCCTGGTCTCAGTGTCAGAAGAACCCCCTCCCCCTTACCCACCCCCCTCTGGCCGCCCATTGGTCAGGGCTGTCGGAGTTTAAATCCTAAATAAAAATGTCGATCCAAACTGTCTCTGTGAGATGTATGTTACTGCCCCCTGCTGTTTATTCTAATGTTTGTCACAAGGCGCCGTAAAGATGCCGCTGAAAAGATGGCGGCGCAAAGATGGCGCCGTAAAGATGGCGCCGTAAAGATGGCGCCGCAAAGATGGCGCCGTAAAGATGGCGCCGCAAAGATGGCGCCGTAAAGATGGCGCCGTAAAGATGGCGGCGTGTCAAGAGCTCTGGTGTGTGCCGTCTTCTCTGGTAAACACTGTGGGAGTCTTGCAGTTTTTCCAATGTGGTTTTACTGCAAATGGCAAATACAAATCATCAGGAGGACCATCAAGAGGACCATCAGGAGGACCATTAGAAGGACCATCAGGAGGACCATCAGGAGGACCATCAGGAGGACCATCAGGAGGACCATCAGGAGGACCATCAGAAGGACCATCAAGAGGACCATCAAGAGGACCATCAAGAGGACCATCAGGAGGACCATCAGGAGGACCATCAGGAGGACCATCAGGAGGACCATCAGGAGGAGCATCAGAAGGACCATCAGGAGCACCATCAAGAGGACCATCAAGAGGACCATCAGGAGGACCATCAGGAGGACCATCAGGAGGAGCATCAGAAGGACCATCAGGAGGACCATCAGGAGGACCATCAGGAGGACCATCAGGAGGAGCATCAGAAGGACCATCAGGAGGAGCATCAGAAGGACCATCAGGAGGACCATCAGGAGGACCATGGTTGAGAGTGTGGTGGTTGAGAGTGTGGTGGTTGAGAGTGTGGTGGTTGAGACTGCGGTGGTTGAGAGTGTGGTGGTTGTGGTGGTTGAGAGAGTGGTGGTTGTGGTGGTTGAGAGTGTGGTGGTTGTGGTGGTTGAGCGTGTGGTGTTGAGAGTGCGGTGGTTGAGAGTGTGGTGGTTGAGAGTGTGGTGGTTGAGAGTGTGGTGGTTGAGAGTGCGGTGGTTGGTGTGGTGGTTGAGTGTGCGGTGGTTGAGAGTGTGGTGGGTGTGAGAGTGTGGTGGTTGAGAGTGTGGTGGTTGAGAGTGCGGTGGTTGAGAGTGCGGTGGTTGAGAGTGGTGGTTGAGTGTGGTGGTTGTGGTGGTTGAGAGTGCGGTGGTTGAGAGTGTGGTGGTTGAGAGTGCGGTGGTTGTGGTGGTTGAGAGTGTGGTGGTTGAGAGTGCGGTGGTTGAGAGTGCGGTCGTTGTGGTGGTTGAGAGTGCGGTGGTTGTGGGTGGTTGAGAGTGCGGTGGTTGAGAGTGCGGTCGTTGTGGTGGTTGAGAGTGCGGTGGTTGAGTGCGGTGTTGTGGTGGTTGAGGTGGTGTGTGGTGGTTGGAGTGTGGTGGTTGAGAGTGTGGTGGTTGTGGTGGTTGAGAGTGTGGTGGTTGAGAGTGCGGTGGTTGAGAGTGCGGTGGTTGAGAGTGCGGTGGTTGAGAGTGCGGTGGTTGAGAGTGTGGTGGTTGTGGTGGTTGAGAGTGTGGTGGTTGTGGTGGTTGAGAGTGTGGTGGTTGAGAGTGCGGTGGTTGAGAGTGCGGTGGTTGAGAGTGCGGTGGTTGAGAGAGTGTGGTGGTTGAGAGTGTGTGGGTGAGAGTGTGGTGGTTGAGAGTGTGGTGGTTGAGAGTGTGGTGGTTGTGGTGGTTGAGAGTGTGGTGGTTGAGAGTGTGGTGGTTGAGAGTGTGGTGGTTGTGGTGGTTGAGAGTGTGGTGGTTGAGACTGCGGTGGTTGAGAGTGTGGTGGTTGTGGTGGTTGAGAGTGTGGTGGTTGAGAGTGTGGTTGAGAGTGTGGTGGTGAGAGTGTGGTGGTTGTGGTGGTTGAGAGTGTGGTGGTTGTGGTGGTTGAGAGTGCGGTGGTTGAGAGTGTGGTGGTTGTGGTGGTTGAGAGTGCGGTGGTTGAGAGTGTGGTGGTTGAGAGTGTGGTGGTTGAGAGTGTGGTGGTTGAGAGTGTGGTGGTGAGAGTGTGGTGGTGAGAGTGCGGTGGTTGAGAGTGTGGTGGTTGAGAGTGTGGTGGTTGAGAGTGTGGTGGTTGAGAGTGTGGTGGTTGAGAGTGTGGTGGTTGAGAGTGTGGTGGTTGAGAGTGCGGTGGTTGAGAGTGCGGTGGTTGAGAGTGCGGTGGTTGAGAGTGCGGTGGTTGAGAGTGCGGTGGTTGAGAGTGCGGTGGTTGAGAGTGTTGTGGTGGTTGAGAGTGTGGTGGTTGTGGTGGTTGAGAGTGCGGTGGTTGAGAGTGTGGTGGTTGAGAGTGCGGTGGTTGTGGTGGTTGAGAGTGTGGTGGTTGAGAGTGCGGTGGTTGAGAGTGCGGTGGTTGTGGTGGTTGTGGTGGTTGGGAGTGTGGTGGTTGAGAGTGTGGTGGTTGTGGTGGTTGAGAGTGTGGTGGTTGAGAGTGCGGTGGTTGAGAGTGCGGTGGTTGAGAGTGCGGTGGTTGAGAGTGCGGTGGTTGAGAGTGTGGTGGTTGTGGTGGTTGAGAGTGTGGTGGTTGTGGTGGTTGAGAGTGCGGTGGTTGAGAGTGCGGTGGTTGAGAGTGCGGTGGTTGTGGTGGTTGAGAGTGTGGTGGTTGAGAGTGCGGTGGTTGTGGTGGTTGAGAGTGCGGTGGTTGTGGTGGTTGGGAGTGTGGTGGTTGAGAGTGTGGTGGTTGTGGTAGTTGAGAGTGTGGTGGTTGTGGTGGTTGAGAGTGTGGTGTTGAGAGTGTGGTGGTTGAGAGTGCGGTGGTTGAGAGTGCGGTGGTTGAGAGTGCGGTGGTTGAGAGAGTGGTGGTTGTGGTGGTTGAGAGTGTGGTGGTTGAGAGTGTGGTGGTTGTGGTGGTTGAGAGTGCGGTGGTTGAGAGTGCGGTGGTTGAGAGTCTGGTGGTTGTGGTGGTTGAGAGTGTGGTGGTTGAGAGTGCGGTGGTTGAGAGTCTGGTGGTTGTGGTGGTTGAGAGTGTGGTGGTTGAGAGTGTGGTGGTTGAGAGTGTGGTGGTTGAGAGTGTGGTGGTTGAGAGTGTGGTGGTTGAGAGTGTGGTGGTTGAGAGTGTGGTGGTTGTGGTGGTTGAGAGTGCGGTGGTTGTGGTGGTTGAGGTGGTTGAGAGTGTTACAGGTTGAGCATTTCCTCTAAGATGTTAAAAAGTTAAAAATATAAAATAGGTTTTTGTTAAAAGGTTTATGTTAAGATTATATGTTAAAAATTGTTAAAACCCTAGAAGGTTAAAGTTAAACGGTTAAAATTCATAAGTTAAAGAAAGATTCTAAAATGCTTTAAGTTACTGTAATTCTCATAATGATTAAAGACTGTAAAAAGCTTTTCCGAATATCTGAGTTTAAAAACACGTAGAGCAGCTTTAAAATCAGAGACTCTCCCATTATTTAGACTGCTCTGAGGTCATCAGTCTGAGTTTGAGTGCAGGTGTGGGACCATGTGGGACCATGTGGGACCATGGGAGAACACAGATTTTCTACCTGCAATCTGTGGAGGACTGTAATGTTCATTTTCTATTATTATTTTGTTCATTAAATGGACTTAAAAGGAGTCTCCCTGGTCTCAGTGTCAGAAGAACCCCCTCCCCCTTACCCACCCCCCTCTGGCCGCCCATTGGTCAGGGCTGTCGGAGTTTAAATCCTAAATAAAAATGTCGATCCAAACTGTCTCTGTGAGATGTATGTTACTGCCCCCTGCTGTTTATTCTAATGTTTGTCACAAGGCGCCGTAAAGATGCCGCTGAAAAGATGGCGGCGCAAAGATGGCGCCGTAAAGATGGCGCCGTAAAGATGGCGCCGCAAAGATGGCGCCGTAAAGATGGCGCCGCAAAGATGGCGCCGTAAAGATGGCGCCGTAAAGATGGCGCCGTAAAGATGGCGGCGTGTCAAGAGCTCTGGTGTGTGCCGTCTTCTCTGGTAAACACTGTGGGAGTCTTGCAGTTTTTCCAATGTGGTTTTACTGCAAATGGCAAATACAAATCATCAGGAGGACCATCAAGAGGACCATCAGGAGGACCATTAGAAGGACCATCAGGAGGACCATCAGGAGGACCATCAGGAGGACCATCAGGAGGACCATCAGAAGGACCATCAAGAGGACCATCAAGAAGACCATCAGGAGGACCATCAGGAGGACCATCAGGAGGACCATCAGAAGGACCATCAGGAGGACCATCAGGAGGACCATCAGGAGGAGCATCAGAAGGACCATCAGGAGCACCATCAAGAGGACCATCAAGAGGACCATCAGGAGGACCATCAGGAGGACCATCAGGAGGAGCATCAGAAGGACCATCAGGAGGACCATCAGGAGGACCATCAGGAGGACCATCAGGAGGAGCATCAGAAGGACCATCAGGAGGAGCATCAGAAGGACCATCAGGAGGACCATCAGGAGGACCATGGCGGTGGTTGAGAGTGTGGTGGTTGAGAGTGTGGTGGTTGAGAGTGTGGTGGTTGAGAGTGCGGTGGTTGAGAGTGCGGTGGTTGAGAGTGGTGGTTGAGTGTGGTGGTTGTGGTGGTTGAGAGTGCGGTGGTTGAGAGTGTGGTGGTTGAGAGTGCGGTGGTTGTGGTGGTTGAGAGTGTGGTGGTTGAGAGTGCGGTGGTTGAGAGTGCGGTCGTTGTGGTGGTTGAGAGTGCGGTGGTTGTGGTGGTTGAGAGTGCGGTGGTTGAGAGTGCGGTCGTTGTGGTGGTTGAGAGTGCGGTGGTGTGGTGGTGGGAGTGTGGTGGTTGAGAGTGTGGTGGTTGTGGTGGTTGAGAGTGTGGTGGTTGAGAGTGCGGTGGTTGAGAGTGCGGTGGTTGAGAGTGCGGTGGTTGAGAGTGCGGTGGTTGAGAGTGTGGTGGTTGTGGTGGTTGAGAGTGTGGTGGTTGTGGTGGTTGAGAGTGTGGTGGTTGAGAGTGCGGTGGTTGAGAGTGCGGTGGTTGAGAGTGCGGTGGTTGAGAGTGTGGTGGTTGAGAGTGTGGTGGTTGAGAGTGTGGTGGTTGTGGTGGTTGAGAGTGTGGTGGTTGAGAGTGTGGTGGTTGAGAGTGTGGTGGTTGTGGTGGTTGAGAGTGTGGTGGTTGAGACTGCGGTGGTTGAGAGTGTGGTGGTTGTGGTGGTTGAGAGTGTGGTGGTTGAGAGTGTGGTGGTTGAGAGTGTGGTGGTTGTGGTGGTTGAGAGTGTGGTGGTTGTGGTGGTTGAGAGTGCGGTGGTTGAGAGTGTGGTGGTTGTGGTGGTTGAGAGTGCGGTGGTTGAGAGTGTGGTGGTTGAGAGTGTGGTGGTTGAGAGTGTGGTGGTTGAGAGTGTGGTGGTTGAGAGTGTGGTGGTTGAGAGTGCGGTGGTTGAGAGTGTGGTGGTTGAGAGTGTGGTGGTTGAGAGTGTGGTGGTTGAGAGTGTGGTGGTTGAGAGTGTGGTGGTTGAGAGTGCGGTGGTTGAGAGTGCGGTGGTTGAGAGTGCGGTGGTTGAGAGTGCGGTGGTTGAGAGTGCGGTGGTTGAGAGTGCGGTGGTTGAGAGTGTTGTGGTGGTTGAGAGTGTGGTGGTTGTGGTGGTTGAGAGTGCGGTGGTTGAGAGTGTGGTGGTTGAGAGTGCGGTGGTTGTGGTGGTTGAGAGTGTGGTGGTTGAGAGTGCGGTGGTTGAGAGTGCGGTGGTTGTGGTGGTGAGTGCGTGGTGTGGTGGTTGGGAGTGTGGTGGTTGAGAGTGTGGTGGTTGTGGTGGTTGAGAGTGTGGTGGTTGAGAGTGCGGTGGTTGAGAGTGCGGTGGTTGAGAGTGCGGTGGTTGAGAGTGCGGTGGTTGAGAGTGTGGTGGTTGTGGTGGTTGAGAGTGTGGTGGTTGTGGTGGTTGAGAGTGCGGTGGTTGAGAGTGCGGTGGTTGAGAGTGCGGTGGTTGTGGTGGTTGAGAGTGTGGTGGTTGAGAGTGCGGTGGTTGTGGTGGTTGAGAGTGCGGTGGTTGTGGTGGTTGGGAGTGTGGTGGTTGAGAGTGTGGTGGTTGTGGTAGTTGAGAGTGTGGTGGTTGTGGTGGTTGAGAGTGTGGTGTTGAGAGTGTGGTGTTGAGAGTGTGGTGGTTGAGAGTGCGGTGGTTGAGAGTGCGGTGGTTGAGAGAGTGGTGGTTGTGGTGGTTGAGAGTGTGGTGGTTGAGAGTGTGGTGGTTGTGGTGGTTGAGAGTGCGGTGGTTGAGAGTGCGGTGGTTGAGAGTCTGGTGGTTGTGGTGGTTGAGAGTGTGGTGGTTGAGAGTGCGGTGGTTGAGAGTCTGGTGGTTGTGGTGGTTGAGAGTGTGGTGGTTGAGAGTGTGGTGGTTGAGAGTGTGGTGGTTGAGAGTGTGGTGGTTGAGAGTGGTGGTTGAGAGTGTGGTGGTTGTGGTGGTTGAGAGTGCGGTGGTTGTGGTGGTTGAGGTGGTTGAGAGTGTTACAGGTTGAGCATTTCCTCTAAGATGTTAAAAAGTTAAAAATATAAAATAGGTTTTTGTTAAAAGGTTTATGTTAAGATTATATGTTAAAAATTGTTAAAACCCTACTCTGTACCGCACCTCTGTACCTCTCTGTACACCTCTCTGTACCTCTCTGTACCGCACCTCTCTGTACTGCACCTCTCTGTACTGCACACCACACCTCTGTACCGCACCTCTCTGTACTGCACCTCTCTGTACTGCACCTACTGCACCTCTCTGTACTGCACCTCTCTGTACTGCACCTCTCTGTACTGCACCTCTCTGTACCGCACCTCTCTGTACTGCACCTCTCTGTACTGCACCTCTCTGTACTGCACCTCTCTGTACTGCACCTCTCTACTGCACCTCTCTGTACTGCACCTCTCTGTACTGCACCTCTCTATACTGCACCTCTCTGTACCACACTCTGTACCGCACCTCTGTACTGCACCTCTCTGTACTGCACACTCTGTACTGCACACTCTCTGTACTGCACCTCCTCTCTGTACTGCACCTCTCTGTACTCTCTGTACTGCACCTCTCTGTACTGCACCTCTCTGTACTCTCTGTACTGCACCTCTCTGTACTGCACCTCTCTGTACCACACCTCTGTACTGCACCTCTCTGTACCACACCTCTGTACCGCACCTCTCTGTACTCACCTCTCTGTACTGCACCTCTCTATACTGCACCTCTCTGTACTGCACCTCTCTGTACTGCACCTCTCTGTACTGCACTCTCTATACGCACCTCTCTATACCGCACACCTCTGTACCGCACCTCTCTGTACTGCACCTCTCTGTACTGCACACCTCTCTGTACTGCACACCTCTCTGTACTGCACACCTCTCTGTACTGCACCTCTCTGTACTGCACCTCTCTGTACTGCACCTCTCTATACCGCACCTCTCTGTACTGCACCTCTCTGTACTGCACCTCTCTGTACTGCACCTCTCTGTACTGCACCTCTCTGTACTGCACCTCTCTGTACTGCACCTCTCTGTACTGCACACCTCTCTGTACTGCACCTCTCTGTACTGCACCTCTCTGTACTGCACCTCTCTGTACTGCACCTCTCTGTACTGCACCTCTCTGTACTGCACACCTCTCTGTACTGCACCTCTCTGTACTGCACCTCTCTGTACTGCACCTCTCTGTACTGCACCTCTCTGTACTGCACCTCTCTGTACTGCACACCTCTCTGTACTGCACCTCTCTGTACTGCACCTCTCTGTACTGCACCTCTCTGTACTGCACCTCTCTGTACTGCACCTCTCTGTACCGCACCTCTCTGTACTGCACCTCTCTGTACTGCACCTCTCTGTACTGCACCACTCTGTACTGTAAGTAAGTAAGTAAGTCATCTTTATTTGTATAGCACCTTTCACAGGCAAAGGCCACAAAGTGCTTCACAACACAGTTAAAACATCACAAAATTAAATACAATATAAAGAGGGTCAAAAGAACACAGAAATCGTATCAGCCCAAAAATAGCTAATAAAGGCTTGAACAAATAAATGAGTCTTAAGATTGCTTTTAAAAGTATCAACAGAGTCAGTAGAGCGCAAAGAGGGCGGAAGATGGTTCCAAAGCCTGGGAGCAACAGCCTGGAAGGATCACCTCTTGTACCAAAACAAGTGGAACCTTTAGCAGAGTTTGATCCACAGACCTCAGAGCCCGAGCCGGGGTGTGAGGCTGGATCAGAACACTGAGGTAAGAAGGAGCTGGACCACGCAAGGCTCTGAAAGCTAGAACCAACATTTTAAACGTGATCCTATAGGACACTGGCAGCCAATGAAGTTGTTTTAAAATAGGAGATATGTGGGTCCTCCTGTTAGTGCGGGTCAGAATTCTCGCTGCAGAGTTTTGCACTAGTTGCAGTCGAGAGAGCTCCTTCTTATTTAGACATGAAAACAAACTATTACAATAGTCTAAACGTGAAGACACAAATGCATGAATGATAAGCTCTAAGTCATTACGTGCGACCATATTCCTAAGTTTAGAAATGTTCCTTAGTTGAAAGAAGCAGTTCCTTGTTAGCTGCTTACAGTGCTGGACTAATGACATGTCTTTGTCAAAGATAACGCCCACGTTTCGAAGACTTGGCTTCGCTGACTGGCCTAAGTCACCCAGGTACTGTTTAATCCCCGGAATTGCATCATCAGGTGCGATAACCAGTGTTTCGGTTTTGTCTGCATTTAGCTGCAGAGAGTTATCGCTGAGCCATTGTTTTATTTCCACTAGACAATGGAGCAGAGAGTCTAGCTTCTGGATTTCAGACGGCTTAAAGGAACAGTAAAGCTGGATATCGTCAGCAAATAGGTGGAAAGAAACATCACTGAACCTTTGGATGATCTTTCCCAAAGGAATCAAATACAACAAAAATAAGACAGGACACAAAACGGACCCTTGAGAAACTCCACACAACAAACCCACAGACTCAGACCTAATTTGGTTAGCTGTAACACTGAAGCTACGCCCCGATAAGTATGAGGAGAACCACTGTAGAACTGCCCCCGACAGTCCTACTTGATCCCTCAGTCTTTTCAGCAGAACCTGATGGTCAACGGTGTCGAATGCTGAGGACAGATCCAAGAGAACTAGAACAGTGCGCTTCCCAGAATCAGCAGACATCATAATGTCGCTGGACACTTTCAGTAAGGCCGTTTCCGTAGAGTGTTGTTTACGGAAACCAGACTGAAACGGCTCATGGATGATATTTTGATCCAGGAAGAACGTAAGCTGTTCACAGACCACCTTCTCAAGGATCTTGGACAGGAACGGGAGTTTCGAAATAGGCCTAAAACTATTAAGATCAGTCGGGTCTAACCCTGCTCTTTTTAGTAGTGGCTCCACTATGGCATGTTTAAAGGCACTGGGAAACACGCCAGTTGACAAAGAGACATTAACCATTTTGGTAACACAAGGGCCAATTACCTCGAACACTGTTTGAAAGAGCCTGCAAGGAAGGATGAACAAGAGGAGGGCTTCATCTTGGACACCAGTGCTGAAATATCAGCAAATGTCACCGTTTTAAATGAAGACCACATGCTGGACACAGCAGGGGGGCCACACAGAAGGGGCGAGATTTTATCCTTGATCATCTTAATTTTATTTGTGAAAAGGCATTGCTGTCAGCTTCACAAAAGACAGGGGTAACTGGAGCAGCAGGACATACAAAATAGTTAATCAAGTCAAACAACACTTTGGGATTTTTCTTATTCAATGTTACCAGTTGACGGATATATTCAGATCTGGAATTTTCAATCATCACGTTGTATGATGACACAAGATCCCTGAGATAGAGCTTGTGCACCTCAAGTTTAGTGGATTTCCACAGGCGTTCAGTCTTTCGACACAGCCTCTTGAGTCTTAAGATATCTTCATTTGTCCAAGGACACGCTTTTTTCTGTGACAAGTTTGATTTAACAAACTTGGGACTGGGTCACTTTGCATTTGTGGACAGCCCTGTGCACAAATGCCAGGCCACCACCACGGCGACAGGGGCGGGGTTTCCCGACAGCAGAGCAGCCAGCTGGGCAGAGATCATTTAAATGAATGAACTCTTCCTCTCTCTGCCTGTCTCCGAAAGACACATGATATCCAAGCTTTCTCTGACGAAAAGATCGTTCAATGAATGAGATTTATTCGCAATTGAACGAGCATTCAACAGGCCAACGCAGATTGTAGATGACGTCACGAAGGCAGTGTCCGTGTTGAGCAGCGGGATTGGTCGAAGGCACGTCCAGCTGGTCCATGCTGGAAGAGCAGGCACAAACACGGAAGTAAAGCTCCTGACCACAACTCCAGCGCTGTGATGGGTCCAGGACGTTGTAGTCCGAGCAGGCGTCGGCGTGGACACCCTGTCACACGCATCGAGGAGAGGAATCTGGCGCAGGCACCGAGCGCGATCCCTGCGGCCGAAGACAGCGGAGCCAAAGCGCGATGCGGCACGCCTTCGCTTAACCTGGACACCGGACCGAGAGCCTCTTTTCTTGGATCTCCTGCGGACCCTGCGCGGCGTCCGACACAACAAGTAATCAGGTGAGCCGGGATCGATGATGAAAGGAGGAGGAGCCTGTTTGTAGCTGTCCCATGTATCAAACAGTTCCTCCATTGACTGCTTTATACCAAACAAAGAGTCCGTATAGCCACACATCCTTTTGTTGTTTGGGCTGATATGATCACATAGGTTTACAAAATGACCATTAGCAATCTACACAGTCACAGGCGCCATCTTGTCTCCAATGACTTTTTACTGCACCTCTCTGTACTGCACCTCTCTGTACTGCACCTCTCTCTGTACTGCACCTCTCTCTGTACTGCACACCTCTCTGTACTGCACACCTCTCTGTACTGCACCTCTCTGTACTGCACACCACGTGTGACATCACCACGTGTGACATCACCACGTGGTGACGTGATGTCACCACGTGGTGATGTCACCCTCGGTGATGTCACCCTCAATAAAGCTCACCTGGTTGGTCAGGGGGTCCTTGCGGCCCATGGCGCTCTGGTTGGGGGAGGAGGCAGCCGCAGAGGGGGTGGGGGCCCGGTTGGGGGAGGCGGTGGCAGCAGCTGAGGGAAGGGGGGCCCGGTTGGGGGAGGCGGCAGCAGCAGCAGAGGGGGGGGGGGCACGGTTGGGGGTCTTCCTGCTCTGACCCGGGAGGAATGTGGAAAAGAAGTTCTTGGAGGGAGGTGTGGAAGTGTTGGACGATCTCTGACTCCACACCAGCTCCCTGCACACAACACAATGGTCTCTCTCTCTGGTCTCCCTCTCTGGTCTCCCTCTCTGGTCTCCCTCTCTGGTCTCTTTCTCTGGTCTCCCTCTCTGGTCTCCCTCTCTGGTCTCCCTCTCTGGTCTCCCTCTCTGGTCTCCCTCTCTGGTCTCCCTCTCTGGTCTCCCTCTCTGGTCTCCCTCTCTGGTCTCCCTCTCTGGTCTCCCTCTCTGGTCTCCCCTCTCTGGTCTCCCCTCTCTGGTCTCCCTCTCTGGTCTCCCTCTCTGGTCTCCCTCTCTGGTCTCCCTCTCTGGTCTCCCTCTCTGGTCTCCCTCTCTGGTCTCCCTCTCTGGTCTCCCTCTCTGGTCTCCCTCTCTGGTCTCCCTCTCTGGTCTCCCTCTCTGGTCTCCCTCTCTAGTCCCTGGTACTTACAGTTCAGTATCTCCCAGCCGGTCAGTGTTCTGGACATATGGAGGCAGCTTGTGTTGGACCGGAGCGTCCTGGTCCCGGGACTCGGACTGAAGAGCAAAGAGCTGCACAGACAGAACAGCTTTAGGACAAACACCTCTGGTCTGTCTCCGGTCTGTCTCACTCTGGTCTGTCTCTGGTCTGTCTCACTCCGGTCTGTCTCACTCTGGTCTGTCTCACTCTGGTCTGTCTCTGGTCTGTCTCACTCCGGTCTGTCTCACTCCGGTCTGTCTCACTCCGGTCTGTCTCACTCCGGTCTGTCTCACTCTGGTCTGTCTCACTCTGGTCTGTCTCTGGTCTGTCTCACTCTGGTCTGTCTCACTCTGGTCTGTCTCTGGTCTGTCTCACTCTGGTCTGTCTCACTCTGGTCTGTCTCTGGTCTGTCTCACTCTGGTCTGTCTCACTCCGGTCTGTCTCACTCCAGTCTGTCTCACTCCGGTCTGTCTCACTCTGGTCTGTCTCTCTCCGGTCTGTCTCACTCTGGTCTGTCTCACTCTGGTCTGTCTCACTCTGGTCTGTCTCACTCTGGTCTGTCTCACTCCGGTCTGTCTCACTCCGGTCTGTCTCACTCTGGTCTGTCTCACTCCGGTCTGTCTCACTCCGGTCTGTCTCACTCTGGTCTGTCTCTGGTCTGTCTCACTCTGGTCTGTCTCCGGTCTGTCTCACTCCGGTCTGTCTCACTCCGGTCTGTCTCACTCCGGTCTGTCTCACTCTGGTCTGTCTCTGGTCTGTCTCACTCCGGTCTGTCTCACTCCGGTCTGTCTCACTCCGGTCTGTCTCACTCCGGTCTGTCTCACTCCGGTCTGTCTCACTCCGGTCTGTCTCACTCTGGTCTGTCTCACTCCGGTCTGTCTCACTCTGGTCTGTCTCACTCTGGTCTGTCTCACTCTGGTCTGTCTCACTCCGGTCTGTCTCACTCTGGTCTGTCTCACTCCGGTCTGTCTCACTCCGGTCTGTCTCACTCCGGTCTGTCTCACTCCGGTCTGTCTCACTCTGGTCTGTCTCACTCTGGTCTGTCTCACTCTGGTCTGTCTCACTCTGGTCTGTCTCTGGTCTGTCTCACTCCGGTCTGTCTCACTCCGGTCTGTCTCACTCCGGTCTGTCTCACTCCGGTCTGTCTCACTCTGGTCTGTCTCACTCTGGTCTGTCTCACTCCGGTCTGTCTCACTCCGGTCTGTCTCACTCCGGTCTGTCTCACTCCGGTCTGTCTCACTCCGGTCTGTCTCACTCTGGTCTGTCTCACTCTGGTCTGTCTCACTCCGGTCTGTCTCACTCTGGTCTGTCTCACTCCGGTCTGTCTCACTCCGGTCTGTCTCACTGCGATCTGTCTCACTCCGGTCTGTCTCACTCTGGTCTGTCTCACTCCGGTCTGTCTCACTCCGGTCTGTCTCACTGCGATCTGTCTCACTCCGGTCTGTCTCACTCCGGTCTGTCTCACTCCGGTCTGTCTCACTCCGGTCTGTCTCACTCCGGTCTGTCTCACTCTGGTCTGTCTCACTCTGGTCTGTCTCACTCCGGTCTGTCTCACTCCGGTCTGTCTCACTCCGGTCTGTCTCACTCTGGTCTGTCTCACTCCGGTCTGTCTCTCTCCGGTCTGTCTCACTCCGGTCTGTCTCACTCTGGTCTGTCTCACTCCGGTCTGTCTCACTGCGGTCTGTCTCACTCCGGTCTGTCTCACTCCGGTCTGTCTCACTCTGGTCTGTCTCACTCCGGTCTGTCTCACTCTGGTCTGTCTCTGGTCTGTCTCACTCTGGTCTGTCTCACTCCGGTCTGTCTCACTCTGGTCTGTCTCACTGCGGTCTGTCTCACTCCGGTCTGTCTCACTCTGGTCTGTCTCACTCCGGTCTGTCTCACTGCGGTCTGTCTCACTCTGGTCTGTCTCTGGTCTGTCTCACTCTGGTCTGTCTCACTCCGGTCTGTCTCACTCTGGTCTGTCTCACTCTGGTCTGTCTCACTCCGGTCTGTCTCACTCCGGTCTGTCTCACTCCGGTCTGTCTCACTCTGGTCTGTCTCTCTCCGGTCTGTCTCTCTCCGGTCTGTCTCACTCCGGTCTGTCTCACTCTGGTCTGTCTCACTCCGGTCTGTCTCACTGCGGTCTGTCTCACTCCGGTCTGTCTCACTCCGGTCTGTCTCACTCTGGTCTGTCTCACTCCGGTCTGTCTCACTCTGGTCTGTCTCTGGTCTGTCTCACTCTGGTCTGTCTCACTCCGGTCTGTCTCACTCTGGTCTGTCTCACTGCGGTCTGTCTCACTCCGGTCTGTCTCACTCTGGTCTGTCTCACTCCGGTCTGTCTCACTGCGGTCTGTCTCACTCTGGTCTGTCTCTGGTCTGTCTCACTCTGGTCTGTCTCACTCCGGTCTCTCTTTCTATTACTCTTTCTGTCGGACTACAAGTATTATGTTTGGGATTTAGGTATCACAGCTTTATAGGGAGTGGGGTCAGTGCAGATAAAGGGCGTGGCCAGTAGAGAGAAAGGGGGCGTGGCCAGTAGAGAGAAAGGGGGCGTGGCCAGTAGAGAGAAAGGGGGCGTGGCCAGTAGAGAGAAAGGAGGCGTGGCCAGTAGAGAGAAAGGGGGCGTGGCCAGTAGAGAGAAAGGAGGCGTGGCCAGTAGAGAGAAAGGAGGCGTGGCCAGTAGAGAGAAAGGGGGCGTGGCCAGTAGAGAGAAAGGAGGCGTGGCCAGTAGAGAGAAAGGAGGCGTGGCCAGTAGAGAGAAAGGAGGCGTGGCCAGTAGAGAGAAAGGAGGCGTGGCCAGTAGAGAGAAAGGAGGCGTGGCCAGTAGAGAGAAAGGAGGCATGGCCAGTAGAGAGAAAGGGGGCGTGGCCAGTAGAGATAAAGGGGGCGTGGCCAGTAGAGAGAAAGGAGGCGTGGCCAGTAGAGAGAAAGGGGGCGTGGCCAGTAGAGAGAAAGGGGGCGTGGTCAAACTCACCGCATGGCGCAGCTGGTCATTCTCCTCGTACAGGGAGCTGACACGCTGCAGCTCTGCATCAAAACTCAGGAGCACAGGGACAGGTACCATGGTCAAGGAACATATATATACTATAGCACAGGTACCATGGTCAAGGAACATATATATACTATAGCACAGGTACCATGGTCAAGGAACATATATATACTATAGCACAGGTACCATGGTCAAGGAACATATATATACTATAGCACAGGTACCATGGTCAAGGAACATATATATACTATAGCACAGGTACCATGGTCAAGGAACATATATATACTATAGCACAGGTACCATGGTCAAGGAACATATATATACTATAGCACAGGTACCATGGTCAAGGAACATATATATACTATAGCACAGGTACCAGGGTCAAGGAACATATATATACTATAGCACAGGTACCATGGTCAAGGAACATATATATACTATAGCACAGGTACCATGGTCAAGGAACATATATATACTATAGCACAGGTACCAGGGTCAAGGAACATATATATACTATAGCACAGGTACCAGGGTCAAGGAACATATATATACTATAGCACAGGTACCATGGTCAAGGAACATATATATACTATAGCACAGGTACCAGGGTCAAGGAACATATATATACTATAGCACAGGTACCAGGGTCAAGGAACATATATATACTATAGCACAGGTACCAGGGTCAAGGAACATATATATACTATAGCACAGGTACCAGGGTCAAGGAACATATATATACTATAGCACAGGTACCAGGGTCAAGGAACATATATATACTATAGCACAGGTACCAGGGTCGAGGAACATAAATAGATGGTACCTGTGCTAACACCAGTAAGACCAAGGAGATGGTACCTGGGTCAGTCTGGATCAGTCTGGTTTGGCCTAGATCAGTTTGGTTTGGCCTGGGTCAGTCTGGTTTGGCCTGGGTCAGCCTGGTTTGGCCTGGGTCAGTCTGGTTTGGCCTGGGTCAGTCTGGTTTGGCCTGGGTCAGTCTGGTTTGGCCTGGGTCAGTCTGGTTTGGCCTGGGTCAGTCTGGTTTGGACTGGATCAGTCTGGTTTGGCCTGGGTCAGCCTGGTTTGGCCTGGATCAGTTTGGTTTGGCCTGGGTCAGTCTGGTTTGGACTGGATCAGTCTGGTTTGGCCTGGGTCAGCCTGGTTTGGCCTAGCTTGGTTCTGGTCAGAAGGATATGTAAGCACTGGAACAGCACAGACAGGAAGTTGTGCAGAGACACCAGGAAGGTGTCGGTCCACTGCCGAGAGAAGTACGGAGCGAAGAGCGGGTTCTGCTCAGGGGCGGGAACAAACGGCAGCACAAACCAATCACGCCACTCCATCTGGCCCTGAAGCTCCGCCCCCAGCTTCAGGAAGAACTCTTGGGTCTTGTCCAGATTCCCCTTCTGGAAGCACAGGACAGAAGCCCATAGGAGCCAGACTTCACCATGAGCACTTTCCTATTCAGCTTCATTGAGCTAGCGGGTTAGCATTGTCCATCTGTATACAGTCTGTGTTAGCATTAGCATCTGTATACAGCAGACATGTCAGACTATCTCCTGGCCCAAAAACCCTTCATGCTTTCATCTAAATATTTGAGAAAGACCCGCGTTGAACAAGTGCAGCTGCAGCAGCGTGAGGGTTGTACCAAACACTAACTTTAGACACTTTATACAGAGTCAGTGGAAGACGAGAGAGAGCAGACGAGAGAGAGAGAGAGCAGGGGAGACGAGAGAGAGCAGGGGAGGCGCTCTACAAAAGGGGTCAGACCAGGCTCTTTTTTCTGAGGAGGCTGAAGTCCTTTGATGTGTGTAATCAAATGTTGTCTATGTTTTACCATTCTGTTGTGGCTGCTGTTCTCTTTTATGCTGTCATTAGTTGGGGCAACAATATATCGGTCAAAAACCGTAACAGGCTGGACAAACTGGTTAAGAGGGCGGGGTCAGTGGTTGGGGGGTCACTGGACTCTGTTGAGGCAGTGGTTGAGAGGAGCATGGGGAGAAAGGTCCAGGCCATCCTTAGTAACTCCAGGCACCCTCTGCATGGGACTCTGTCTGCTCAGAAGAGCAATCGATCGGATCGTTTCCTCTCCGTAGACAGCAGGACTGAGCGCTTCCGGAGATCCTTCATCCCTGCTGCAATTCGATTTTATAACGGTCATCGCTGATGTAAATGTGTGGGGGTTTTAATTTTTTATTTTTTTTTTCTTATTATATTTATATGTATTGTCTTTTTCTATCCGCTGTTTTGCTACTAAGGACAACTGAATTTCCCCTCGTTGGGATGAATAAAGTATCTATCTATCTATCTAGGGGGGACGAGAGAGAGCAGGGGGGACGAGAGAGAGCAGAGGAGACTAGAGAGAGCAGGGGGGACGAGAGAGAGCAGGGGGGACGAAAGAGCAGCAGAGGAGACGAGAGAGAGCAGGGGGGACGAGAGAGAGCAGAGAGAGAGCAGAGGAGACGAGAGCAGGGGAGAGAGAGAGCAGGGAGACGAGACGAGAGACGAGAGCAGGGGGGACGAGAGAGAGCAGGGGGGACGAAAGAGAGCAGAGAGGAGACGAGAGAGAGCAGGGGGGACGAGAGAGAGCAGAGGAGACGAGAGAGAGCAGGGGGGACGAGAGAGAGCAGAGGAGACGAGAGAGAGCAGGGGGAACGAGAGAGAGCAGGGGGGACGAGAGAGAGCAGGGGGGACGAGAGAGAGCAGAGGAGACGAGAGAGAGCAGGGGGGACGACAGAGAGCAGGGGGGACGAGAGAGAGCAGAGGAGAGAGAGAGAGCAGAGACGAGAGAGAGCAGAGGAGACAAGAGAGAGCAGGGGGGACGAGAGAGAGCAGAGACGAGAGAGAGCAGGGGGGACGAGAGAGAGCAGGGGGGACGAGAGAGAGCAGGGGAGACGAGAGAGAGCAGGGGGGACGAGAGAGAGAGAGCAGGGGGGACGAGAGAGAGAGCAGGGGAGACGAGAGAGAGCAGGGGGGACGAGAGAGAGCAGAAACGAGAGAGAGCAGGGGGGACGAGAGAGAGCAGGGGGGACGAGAGAGAGCAGGGGGGACGAGAGAGAGCAGAGGAGACGAGAGAGAGCAGGGGAGACGAGAGAGAGCAGGGGGGACGAGAGAGAGCAGGGAGACGAGAGAGAGAGAGCAGGGGAGACGAGAGAGAGAGAGAGCAGGGGAGATGAGAGAGAGCAGAGGAGACGAGAGAGAGAGAGCAGAGGAGAGAGAGAGAGAGAGAGCAGAGGAGACGAGAGAGAGAGAGCAGGGGAGACGAGAGAGAGCAGGTGAGACGAGAGAGAGCAGAGGAGAGAGAGAGAGAGCAGAGGAGAGAGAGAGAGAGCAGGGGAGACGAGAGAGAGCAGAGGAGACGAGAGAGAGCAGAGGAGACGAGAGAGAGAAAGCAGGGGAGACGAGAGAGAGCAGGGGAGACGAAAGAGAGCAGGGGAGACGAGAGAGAGCAGGGGGGACGAGAGAGAGCAGGGGGGACGAGAGAGAGCAGGGGGGACGAGAGAGAGCAGGGGAGACGAGAGAGAGCAGAGGAGAGAGAGAGCAGAGGAGACGAGAGAGAGCAGGGGAGACGAGAGAGAGCAGGGGAGACGAGAGAGAGCAGGGGAGACGAGAGAGAGCAGGGGGGACGAGAGAGAGCAGAGGAGAGAGAGAGCAGGGGAGACGAGAGAGAGCAGGGGGGACGAGAGAGAGCAGGGGAGACGAGAGAGAGAGCAGAGGAGAGAGAGAGAGAGCAGAGGAGACGAGAGAGAGCAGGGGAGACGAGAGAGAGCAGGGGAGACGAGAGAGAGCAGAGGGAGACGAGAGAGAGCAGGGGAGACGAGAGAGAGCAGGGGGACGAGAGAGAGCAGGGGACAGACGAGAGAGAGCAGGGGGGACGAGAGAGAGCAGGGGGGACGAGAGAGAGCAGGGGGGACGAGACGAGACGAGAGAGCAGGGGAGAGAGAGAGAGGAGAGAGAGAGAGCAGGGGGACGAGAGAGAGCAGAGGAGACGAGAGAGAGCAGGGGGACGAGAGAGAGAGGGGGAGACGAGAAGAGCAGGGGAGACGAGAGAGAGCAGGGGGACGAGAGAGAGCAGGGGGGACGAGAGAGAGCAGACGGAAGAGAGCAGCAGAGAGAGAGAGAGAGAGCAGGGGGGACGAGAGAGAGAGCAGAGGAGACGAGAGAGAGCAGGGGGGACGAGAGAGAGGCAGAGCGAGAGAGAGCAGAGAGAGAGCAGAGGAGGGAGAGAGAGCAGGGGAGACGAGAGAGAGCAGGGGGGACGAGAGAGAGCAGGGGGGACGAGAGAGAGCAGGGGGAGACGAGAGAGAGCAGAGGAGACGAGAGAGAGCAGGGGAGACGAGAGAGAGCAGGGGAGACGAGAGAGAGCAGGGGAGACGAGAGAGAGAGAGCAGGGAGACGAGAGAGAGAGAGAGACGAGAGAGAGCAGGAGACGAGAGAGAGCAGGGGAGACGAGAGAGAGAGCAGGGGAGAGAGAGAGCAGGGGAGGACGAGAGCAGGGGGAGACGAGAGAGAGCAGGGAGACGAGAGAGAGCAGAGGAGACGAGAGAGAGCAGGGGAGACGAGAGAGAGAGAGAGCAGGGGAGACGAGAGAGAGCAGGGGGGACGAGAGAGAGCAGGGGGACGAGAGAGAGCAGGGGGGAGAGAGAGCAGGGGGGACGAGAGAGAGCAGGGGGGACGAGAGAGAGCAGGGGGGACGAGAGAGAGCAGAGGAGACGAGAGAGAGCAGGGGGGACGAGAGAGAGCAGGGGGGACGAGAAAGAGCAGAGGAGACGAGAGAGAGCAGGGGGGACGAGAGAGAGAGGAGAGCAGGGGAGAGAGAGAGCAGGGGGGACGAGAGAGAGCAGGGGAGAGAGAGAGAGCAGGGGGGACGAGAGAGAGAGAGCAGGGGAGAGAGAGAGAGCAGGGGGGACGAGAGAGAGAGCAGGGGAGACGAGAGAGAGCAGGGGGGACGAGAGAGAGCAGAGACGAGAGAGAGCAGGGGGGGACGAGAGAGAGCAGGGGGGACGAGAGAGAGCAGGGGGGACGAGAGAGAGCAGAGGAGGAGACGAGAGAGAGCAGGGGAGACGAGAGAGAGCAGGGGGACGAGAGAGAGCAGGGGAGACGAGAGAGAGAGAGCAGGGGAGAAGACGAGAGAGAGAGAGCAGGGAGATGAGAGAGAGCAGAGGAGAGAGAGAGAGAGAGAGAGAGGGGAGCAGACGAGAGAGAGAGAGCAGAGAGAGAGAGAGAGAGAGCAGGGGAGAGAGAGAGAGAGAGAGCAGAGGAGACGAGAGAGAGAGAGCAGGGGAGACGAGAGAGAGCAGGTGAGACGAGAGAGAGCAGAGGAGAGAGAGAGAGAGCAGAGGAGAGAGAGAGAGAGCAGGGGAGACGAGAGAGAGCAGAGAGACAGAGAGAGAGAGAGAGCAGAGGAGAGAGAGAGAGAGCAGGGGAGACGAGAGAGAGCAGAGGAGACGAGAGAGAGCAGGGGAGACGGGGAGACGAAAGAGAGCAGGGGAGACGAGAGAGAGCAGGGGAGACGAGAGAGAGCAGGGGAGACGAGAGAGAGCAGGGGGGACGAGAGAGAGCAGGGGGACGAGAGAGAGCAGGGGGACGAGAGAGAGCAGGGGGGACGAGAGAGAGCAGGGGGGGACGAGAGAGAGCAGGGGACGAGAGAGAGCAGGGGGGACGAGAGAGAGCAGGGGGACGAGAGAGAGCAGGGGGGACGAGAGAGAGCAGAGGAGACGAGAGAGAGCAGGGGGGACGAGAGAGAGCAGGGGGGACGAGAGAGAGCAGAGGAGACGAGAGAGAGCAGCAGGGAGACGAGAGAGAGCAGGGAGAGAGAAGCAGGGGAGAGAGAGAGAGCAGGAGAGAGAGAGAGCAGAGGAGAGGAGAGAGAGAGCAGGGGAGACGAGAGAGAGCAGAGGAGAGAGAGAGAGAGAGCAGAGGGGGAGAGGAGGAGAGGAGAGAGAGAGCAGAGGAGAGAGAGAGAGAGCAGAGGAGACGAGAGAGAGCAGAGGAGACGAGAGAGAGCAGGGGGACGAAGAGAGCAGAGGGAGACGAGAGAGAGCAGGGGGGACGAGAGAGAGCAGGGGGACGAGAGAGAGAGCAGGGGGGACGAGAGAGAGAGCAGGGAGAGAGAGAGCAGGGGAGAGAGCAGAGGGAGACGAGAGAGAGCAGAGGAGAGACGAGAGAGAGAGCAGAGAGAGACAAGAGAGAGCAGGGAGGGAGAGAGAGAGAGCAGGGGAGATGACGAGAGAGCAGAGGAGACGAGAGAGAGAGCAGGGGGACGAGAGAGAGCAGCAGGGGGAGACGAGAGAGAGCAGGGGGGACGAGAGAGAGCAGGGGGACGAGAGAGAGCAGGGGGGACGAGAGAGAGCAGGGGAGAGAGAGAGAGAGGGGGACGAGAGAGAGCAGGGGGGACGAGAGAGAGCAGAGGAGACGAGAGAGAGCAGGGGGGACGAGAGAGAGCAGGGGGGACGAGAGAGAGCAGAGGAGACGAGAGAGAGCAGAGGAGAGAGAGAGAGCAAAGGAGAGAGAGAGAGAGCAGGGGAGAGAGAGCAGAGGAGACGAGAGAGAGCAGAGGAGAGAGAGAGAGAGAGCAGGGGAGATGAGACGGTGTAGATGACGTAGTAGCGGTACATGGACGGTGTAGATGACGTAGCAGCGGTACATGGACGGTGTAGATGACGGTGTAGAGGACGTAGTAGCGGTACATGGACGGTGTAGATGACGGTGTAGAGGACGTAGTAGCGGTACATGGACGGTGTAGATGACGTAGTAGCGGTACATGGACGGTGTAGATGACGTAGTAGCGGTACCTGGATGGTGTAGATGACGTAGTAGCGGTACATGGACGGTGTAGATGACGTAGCAGCGGTACCTGGATGGTGTAGATGACGTAGTAGCGGTACCTGGACGGTGTAGATGACGTAGCAGTGGTACCTGGACCGTGTAGATGACGTAGTAGCGGTACCTGGATGGTGTAGATGACGTAGTAGTGGTACCTGGACCGTGTAGATGATGTAGCAGCGGTACATGGACCGTGTAGATGACGTAGTAGCGGTACCTGGACGGTGTAGATGATGTAGCAGCGGTACATGGACGGTGTAGATGACGTAGTAGCGGTACATGGACGGTGTAGATGACGTAGTAGCGGTACATGGACGGTGTAGATGACGTAGTAGCGGTACATGGACGGTGTAGATGACGTAGCAGCGGTACCTGGATGGTGTAGATGACGTAGTAGCGGTACCTGGACGGTGTAGATGACGTAGCAGTGGTACCTGGACCGTGTAGATGACGTAGTAGCGGTACCTGGATGGTGTAGATGACGTAGTAGCGGTACCTGGATGGTGTAGATGACGTGGTAGCGGTACCTAGATGGTGTAGATGACGTAGCAGCGGTACCTGGACGGTGTAGATGACGTAGCAGCGGTACATGGACGGTGTAGATGACGTAGTAGTGGTACCTGGACCGTGTAGATGACGTAGTAGCGGTACATGGACGGTGTAGATGACGTAGTAGCGGTACATGGACGGTGTAGATGACGTAGCAGCGGTACATGGACCGTGTAGATGACGTAGTAGCGGTACATGGACGGTGTAGATGACGTAGCAGCGGTACATGGACGGTGTAGATGACGTAGCAGCGGTACATGGACGGTGTAGATGACGTAGCAGCGGTACATGGACGGTGTAGATGACGTAGCAGCGGTACATGGACGGTGTAGATGACGTAGCAGCGGTACATGGACGGTGTAGATGACGTAGCAGCGGTACATGGACGGTGTAGATGACGTAGCAGCGGTACATGGACGGTGTAGATGACGTAGTAGCGGTACCTGGATGGTGTAGATGACGTAGTAGCGGTACATGGACGGTGTAGATGACGTAGCAGCGGTACATGGACGGTGTAGATGACGTAGTAGCGGTACATGGACGGTGTAGATGACGTAGTAGCGGTACCTGGACCGTGTAGATGACGTAGTAGCGGTACATGGACGGTGTAGATGACGTAGCAGCGGTACATGGACGGTGTAGATGACGTAGAAGCGGTACATGGACGGTGTAGATGACGTAGCAGCGGTACATGGACGGTGTAGATGACGTAGTAGCGGTACATGGACGGTGTAGATGACGTAGCAGTGGTACCTGGATGGTGTAGATGACGTAGCAGCGGTACCTGGATGGTGTAGATGACGTAGTAGCGGTACATGGACGGTGTAGATGACGTAGCAGCGGTACATGGACGGTGTAGATGACGTAGCAGCGGTACCTGGATGGTGTAGATGACGTAGTAGCGGTACATGGACGGTGTAGATGACGTAGCAGCGGTACATGGACGGTGTAGATGACGTAGCAGCGGTACATGGACGGTGTAGATGACGTAGCAGCGGTACATGGACGGTGTAGATGACGTAGTAGCGGTACATGGACGGTGTAGATGACGTAGCAGCGGTACCTGGATGGTGTAGATGACGTAGTAGCGGTACAGGCTGGTCCGCAGCTTGCTGACGGAGGTGCGGTACACGTCTTCGAGCCGACTGAACAGCCGCTTCTCCAGGTGTGCCCAGGACTCCCGCAGCCCGCTCAGGTCGAAGCTCTGCACCAGCTGCTGAAGGTGCTCCATGATGCGGTCCACCTGCCAACAGACAAGCAGGGCAGGGCCTGGTTAGTGCTGTGATGGGAGACCTCAGGGAACAGCAGGTGCCACAGTGGGGCGGCTGTAAACTGTGGTTGTGTCCTTAGGCAAGACACTTCCCCCACATTAGAATGAGTCTGGTCTCTCTGGTCTCTCTGGTCTCTCTTTGGTCTCTCTCTGGTCTCTCTCTGGTCTCTCTCTGGTCTCTCTCTGGTCTCTCTCTGGTCTCTCTCTGGTCTCTCTCTGGTCTCTCTCTGGTCTCTCTCTGGTCTCTCTCTGGTCTCTCTTTGGTCTCTCTCTGGTCTCTCTCTGGTCTCTCTCTGGTCTCTCTCTGGTCTCTCTCTGGTCTCTCTCTGGTCTCTCTCTGGTCTCTCTCTGGTCTCTCTCTGGTCTCTCTCTGGTCTCTCTCTGGTCTCTCTCTGGTCTCTCTCTGGTCTCTCTCTGGTCTCTCTCTGGTCTCTCTCTGGTCTCTCTCTGGTCTCTCTCTGGTCTCTCTCTCTGGTCTCTCTCTCTGGTCTCTCTCTCTGGTCTCTCTCTCTGGTCTCTCTCTCAGGTCTCTCTCTGGTCTCTCTCTGGTCTCTCTGGTCTCTCTCTGTCCTCTCTCTGTCCTCTCTCTGGTCTCTCTCTGGTCTCTCTCTGGTCTCTCTCTGGTCTCTCTCTCTGGTCTCTCTCTCTGGTCTCTCTCTGGTCTCTCTCTCTGGTCTCTCTCTGGTCTCTCTCTGGTCTCTCTCTGGTCTCTCTCTGGTCTCTCTCTCTGGTCTCTCTCTGGTCTCTCTCTGGTCTCTCTCTGGTTTCTGCGACTGTAAAGTGTCAAACTGTGGTTGTGTCCTTAGGCAAGACACTTCCCCCACATTAGAATGAGTCTGGTGTGTGTGAGTGGTTGGTGGAGGTGGGAGGGGCTTCTGTCAGTGTGCCCCAGGGCAGCTGTGGCTACAGTTTATCACAGCTGTGTTTGGAGAGAAAGAATATTGATGTGAAGAGACTTTAGATTCATGGAAAAAACTGAATAAAACTGACTCCATCTTTTCCATTTTCTAATGTCTTCAGCAAATCTGAACAATCAGAACCAGCTCAGCCAGGACAGAACCAGGACCATGACTCCCAGGCAGGGGAGAGTAGAGCAGAGTGTATAGTAGAGTAGAGTAGAGTTTCCTCCGGGTGCTCCGGTTTCCCCTACCGCTAAAAACATGTACAATAGGCATGTGCCTCCTGTACTGGCCCCGCTCCCAAAAATAACAATTGTAAACCGCTTTGAGACTCCGCTGTGCAGTGAAAAGGCGGTATATAAATAAAGATTACTTACTTACTTAATATAGAGTATAGAGTATAGTATAGAGTATAGAGTAGAGTAGAGTATAGAGTAGAGTATAGAGTATAGAGTAGAGTATAGAGTAGAGTATAGAGTAGAGTATAGAGTATAGTATAGATTATAGAGTATAGTATAGAGTATAGAGTATAGAGTAGAGTATAGAGTATAGAGTAGAGTATAGAGTATAGAGTAGAGTATAGAGTATAGAGTAGAGTATAGAGTATAGTATAGAGTATAGAGTATAGTATAGAGTATAGAGTATAGAGTAGAGTATAGAGTATAGAGTAGAGTATAGAGTATAGAGTAGAGTATAGAGTATAGAGTAGAGTATAGAGTATAGAGTAGAGTATAGAGTATAGAGTAGAGTATAGAGTATAGAGTAGAGTATAGAGTAGAGTATAGAGTATAGAGTAGAGTATAGAGTAGAGTATAGAGTATAGAGTAGAGTATAGAGTAGAGTATAGAGTATAGAGTAGAGTATAGAGTATAGAGTAGAGTATAGAGTATAGAGTACTCACTCTGAAGCCCTTGTCTCGGTCCATCTTCAGGTCCAGGTCCAGGTGTCTCAGGGCGGAGCTGAAGCCTCTGTAGGTCAGGTACTCTCTCACCAGCTCATCCGTGCGCTCTACCGCGGAGGCCATCACACCGGGGCTCCGGGGGGTTCGGGGGGCTCCGCGGGTCCAGGGGGGCTACGGGGCTACGGGGCTACGGGGAGACTGGCCTCAGATCCCGGGGTTGGAGCGCGGTGTGCGCGATGGAAAAGCTCGTACTTATGTGTTGTGTGAGTGTTGTATGAATATTGTGGGTATTGAGTGAAAGTGTCGGTCCACACTGTTGTGTTTCTGCCCGAGAGGTCACGTGAGCAGTCACATGACCGCCTCTACTGCGCATGCTTCTTCTGTGTTCCTCGGCGGTTGGCAGCTGACTAATGGAGCACTACCGCCACCTTCTGTCACGGAGTGTCACGGAGACAACGAGCTCACGATCTGAAATAATAATAATAATTATAATGATATTAACTATCGGCTTCCAACACATTTCACTTTTTGATAACATGTGTCCACTGGTGACCATGAAGAAACATGAGGAGAAGACCATGTGGGTGACACACCATGTGGATGACACATGGCTTGAAAAATGCAACAACATGTTGTATATGTTCTTTGTGAAGAAAAGAACAATAGAAGTATAAAACAAATATAAAACATGTAAAAATAAATGAATTAATATCATGAGGACATGTTAGAAAGACTTTAATCAAGAAATGCAAAATAATAATAAAAATAAGATAAAAACACAATAAAAATGTCAGAGACATTTCACTGATAGCATGATCTGTTCTATGTATTTAAAACCACTTATATTGTTAATTAATGCACACACTAAACGATGACATGGAGCGACATCCAAACCACTAACTTTCATCTGGAACCTGTCAATCAAACCATTTCCCAAACAAGATAAAAATGGCAAAGGTCATTCCAGTTCATAAATCTGGGAATAAGCATAGTTTCTTTTATTTTGATTAGTTTAGACGTTTTAGTCACATATAACAATGAAGACAAATGTATATTGAAAACATAAATGGAAAGTAAGATCCCAGAGATTCAGAGTTTTCACCCATTTCCCCGATATCTGTGACATTTATCAGTCTCAGTGAGAATGTCATGTCAGAAATATCGTTAATCACTTTAATCCAGTCAGAAAGTACAGGTGCGTCCTTACTTATCCATGTTCTGGTTATAACACAACTGACACAAGATATTTGTCTGATTTTGTCTTTCCACATGAAAAACATCCTGAATATGCTCCAGCAGGTGAAGGAGATGATCCAATAAAGCCTTGAGCTGCTGTTATCACCGTTGACCAGTAGGGTGCGATCTGTGCACAGTCCCATTATATGAAAATGTCCTGCTTCAATAAGTCCACAGTCCGTCTTCAATATGTCCACAGTCCGTCTTCAATATGTCCACAGTCCGTCTTCAATAAGTCCACAGTCCGTCTTCAATATGTCCACAGTCCGTCTTCAATATGTCCACAGTCCGTCTTCAATAAGTCCACAGTCCGTCTTCAATATGTCCACAGTCCGTCTTCAATAAGTCCACAGTCCGTCTTCAATAAGTCCACAGTCCGTCTTCAATATGTCCACAGTCCGTCTTCAATAAGTCCACAGTCCGTCTTCAATAAGTCCACAGTCCGTCTTCAATAAGTCCACAGTCCGTCTTCAATATGTCCACAGTCCGTCTTCAATATGTCCACAGTCCGTCTTCAATAAGTCCACAGTCCGTCTTCAATATGTCCACAGTCTGTCTTCAATAAGTCCACAGTCCGTCTTCAATAAGTCCACCGTCCGTCTTCAATAAGTCCACAGTCCGTCTTCAATAAGTCCACAGTCCGTCTTCAATATGTCCATAGGTCGTCTTCAATATGTCCACAGTCCGTCTTCAATAAGTCCACAGTCCGTCTTCAATAAGTCCACAGTCCGTCTTCAATAAGTCCACAGTCCGTCTTCAATATGTCCACAGTCCGTCTTCAATATGTCCACAGTCCGTCTTCAATAAGTCCACAGTCCGTCTTCAATATGTCCACAGTCCGTCTTCAATAAGTCCACAGTCCGTCTTCAATAAGTCCACAGTCCGTCTTCAATAAGTCCACAGTCCGTCTTCAATATGTCCACAGTCCGTCTTCAATAAGTCCACAGTCCGTCTTCAATAAGTCCACAGTCCGTCTTCAATATGTCCACAGTCCGTCTTCAATAAGTCCACAGTCCGTCTTCAATAAGTCCACAGTCCGTCTTCAATAAGTCCACAGTCCGTCTTCAATAAGTCCACAGTCCGTCTTCAATAAGTCCACAGTCCGTCTTCAATAAGTCCACCGTCCGTCTTCAATAAGTCCACAGTCCGTCTTCAATAAGTCCACAGTCCGTCTTCAATATGTCCACAGTCGTCTTCAATATGTCCACAGTCCGTCTTCAATAAGTCCACAGTCCGTCTTCAATAAGTCCACAGTCCGTCTTCAATAAGTCCACAGTCCGTCTTCAATATGTCCACAGTCCGTCTTCAATATGTCCACAGTCCGTCTTCAATATGTCCACAGTCCGTCTTCAATAAGTCCACAGTCCTGCTTCAATATGTCCACAGTCCGTCTTCAATAAGTCCACAGTCCGTCTTCAATATGTCCACAGTCCGTCTTCAATAAGTCCACAGTCCGTCTTCAATAAGTCCACAGTCCGTCTTCAATATGTCCACAGTCCGTCTTCAATAAGTCCACAGTCCGTCTTCAATAAGTCCACAGTCCGTCTTCAATAAGTCCACAGTCCGTCTTCAATAAGTCCACAGTCCGTCTTCAATAAGTCCACAGTCCGTCTTCAATAAGTCCACCGTCCGTCTTCAATAAGTCCACAGTCCGTCTTCAATAAGTCCACAGTCCGTCTTCAATATGTCCACAGTCGTCTTCAATATGTCCACAGTCCGTCTTCAATAAGTCCACAGTCCGTCTTCAATAAGTCCACAGTCCGTCTTCAATAAGTCCACAGTCCGTCTTCAATATGTCCACAGTCCGTCTTCAATATGTCCACAGTCCGTCTTCAATATGTCCACAGTCCGTCTTCAATAAGTCCACAGTCCGTCTTCAATAAGTCCACAGTCCGTCTTCAATAAGTCCACAGTCCGTCTTCAATAAGTCTACAGTCCTGCTTCAATAAGTCCACAGTCCGTCTTCAATAAGTCCACAGTCCGTCTTCAATAAGTCCACAGTCCGTCTTCAATAAGTCCACAGTCCGTCTTCAATAAGTCCACAGTCCGTCTTCAATAAGTCCACAGTCCTGCTTCAATATGTCCACAGTCCGTCTTCAATATGTCCACAGTCCGTCTTCAATAAGTCCACAGTCCTGCTTCAATATGTCCACAGTCCGTCTTCAATAAGTCCACAGTCCGTCTTCAATAAGTCCACAGTCCGTCTTCAATAAGTCCACAGTCCGTCTTCAATAAGTCCACAGTCCGTCTTCAATATGTCCACAGTCCGTCTTCAATAAGTCCACAGTCCGTCTTCAATATGTCCACAGTCCGTCTTCAATAAGTCCACAGTCCGTCTTCAATATGTCCACAGTCCGTCTTCAATAAGTCCACAGTCCGTCTTCAATAAGTCCACAGTCCGTCTTCAATAAGTCCACAGTCCTGCTTCAATAAGTCCACAGTCCGTCTTCAATAAGTCCACAGTCTGTCTTCAATAAGTCCACAGTCCGTCTTCAATAAGTCCACAGTCCGTCTTCAATAAGTCCACAGTCCGTCTTCAATATGTCCACAGTCGTCTTCAATATGTCCACAGTCCGTCTTCAATAAGTCCACAGTCCGTCTTCAATAAGTCCACAGTCCGTCTTCAATAAGTCCACAGTCCGTCTTCAATATGTCCACAGTCCGTCTTCAATATGTCCACAGTCCGTCTTCAATATGTCCACAGTCCGTCTTCAATAAGTCCACAGTCCGTCTTCAATAAGTCCACAGTCCGTCTTCAATAAGTCCACAGTCCGTCTTCAATAAGTCTACCGTCCGTCTTCAATAAGTCCACAGTCCGTCTTCAATAAGTCCACAGTCCGTCTTCAATAAGTCCACAGTCCGTCTTCAATAAGTCCACAGTCCGTCTTCAATAAGTCCACAGTCCGTCTTCAATAAGTCCACAGTCCGTCTTCAATATGTCCACAGTCCGTCTTCAATAAGTCCACAGTCCGTCTTCAATAAGTCCACAGTCCGTCTTCAATAAGTCCACAGTCCGTCTTCAATAAGTCCACAGTCCGTCTTCAATATGTCCACAGTCCGTCTTCAATAAGTCCACAGTCCGTCTTCAATATGTCCACAGTCCGTCTTCAATAAGTCCACAGTCCGTCTTCAATATGTCCACAGTCCGTCTTCAATAAGTCCACAGTCCGTCTTCAATAAGTCCACAGTCCGTCTTCAATAAGTCCACAGTCCTGCTTCAATATGTCCACAGTCCGTCTTCAATAAGTACACAGTCCGTCTTCAATAAGTCTACAGTCCTGCTTCAATAAGTCCACAGTCCGTCTTCAATAAGTCCACAGTCCGTCTTCAATAAGTCCACAGTCCGTCTTCAATAAGTCCACAGTCCGTCTTCAATAAGTCCACAGTCGTCTTCAATAAGTCCACAGTCCGTCTTCAATAAGTCCACAGTCCGTCTTCAATAAGTCCACAGTCCGTCTTCAATAAGTCCACAGTCCGTCTTCAATAAGTCCACAGTCGTCTTCAATAAGTCCACAGTCCGTCTTCAATAAGTCCACAGTCCGTCTTCAATAAGTCCACAGTCCGTCTTCAATAAGTCCACAGTCCGTCTTCAATAAGTCTACAGTCCGTCTTCAATAAGTCCACAGTCGTCTTCAATAAGTCCACAGTCCGTCTTCAATAAGTCCACAGTCCGTCTTCAATAAGTCCACAGTCCGTCTTCAATAAGTCCACAGTCCGTCTTCAATAAGTCTACAGTCCGTCTTCAATAAGTCCACAGTCCGTCTTCAATATGTCCACAGTCCTGCTTCAATAAGTCCACAGTCCGTCTTCAATAATGTGGCAGGGGTTTGGAGGAGCCTGAAGACCATCTCGGGCTTCAAAACACCCCCTGTCCAGCCTGTGGGGGACCCCCAGTGGGTTAATGATCTAAACCAATTTTTCCTGCGGTTTGATCAGAGACCCACCCCTCCCCCAGCTCAGCTGCATGCCCTAGCCGCCTCAGCAGTGGACAATAGCCCAGTCGTTCACACCTCTGTCGGTGCCCCACGGCCCCCCTCCCATCAGACACACAGACTCACCCAGCCCCCCAGCCCTCCCCTTTCTTTCACACCTGCTCAGGTGAGAGGTGTGATGAAGAAAATCAATACCAGGAAGGCGGCGGGACCAGACCATGTGAGCGCCAGGCTCCTCAGCTCCTGTGCAGACGAACTGTGCAGAGTTATGGGGCACGTCTTCAACATGAGCCTCCGCCTGAGGTCGGTACCACAGCTCTGGAAGACCTCCTGTGTGGTACCAGTGCCCAAGAAACCACGGGCCAAAGACCTCAGCAATTTCAGGCCAGTGGCTCTAACATCCCACTGCATGAAGACACTGGAGAGACTGGTCCTGGGACATCTCCGCTCCACTCTGAGCCCAGCGATGGACCCGCTGCAGTTCGCCTACAGGCCGGGCATCGGAGTCGAGGACGCCATCATCTCCCTCCTCCATCGCTCCCTGTCCCACCTGGAGAAACCCGGCTCCACTGTGAGGATCCTCTTTGCTTTCTCCAGTGCCTTCAACACCATCCAGCCGAGGCTTCTCAGGGACAAGCTGTAGACAGCTGGAGTGGACTACGACCTGTCTGAGTGGATCCTGGACTACCTCACAGACAGACCCCAGTTTGTGAGAACCAGGGACTTTGTGTCTGAGGTCCTGACCTGCAGTGTGGGAGCCCCCCAGGGGACAGTCCTCGCACCGTTCCTCTTCACCCTCTACACTGCAGACTTCAGACGCAACACGGACGGTTGTGTTCTACAGAAGTTCTCAGACGACTCTGCCGTCATCGGACTCAGCTCCGAGGACGATGACACAGAGGAGTCCTTCAGGACTTTGTGGACTGGTGTCAGCGGAACCACCTCCTCATCAACGCGGGGAAGACCAAGGAGATGAACCACCTCCTCATCAACGCGGGGAAGACCAAGGAGATGAACCACCTCCTCATCAACGCGGGGAAGACCAAGGAGATGAACCACCTCCTCATCAACGCGGGGAAGACCAAGGAGATGAACCACCTCCTCATCAACGCGGGGAAGACCAAGGAGATGAACCACCTCCTCATCAACGCGGGGAAGACCAAGGAGATGAACCACCTCCTCATCAACGCGGGGAAGACCAAGGAGATGAACCACCTCCTCATCAACGTGAGGAAGACCAAGGAGATGAACCACCTCCTCATCAACGTGAGGAAGACCAAGGAGATGAACCACCTCCTCATCAACGTGAGGAAGACCAAGGAGATGAACCACCTCCTCATCAACGTGAGGAAGACCAAGGAGATGAACCACCTCCTCATCAATGTGAGGAAGACCAAGGAGATGAACCACCTCCTCATCAACGCGGGGAAGACCAAGGAGATGAACCACCTCCTCATCAACGCGGGGAAGACCAAGGAGATGAACCACCTCCTCATCAACGCGGGGAAGACCAAGGAGATGAACCACCTCCTCATCAACGTGAGGAAGACCAAGGAGATGAACCACCTCCTCATCAACGTGAGGAAGACCAAGGAGATGAACCACCTCCTCATCAACGTGAGGAAGACCAAGGAGATGAACCACCTCCTCATCAACGCGGGAAGACCAAGGAGATGAACCACCTCCTCATCAACGCGGGGAAGACCAAGGAGATGGTGGTGGATTTCCGCAGACGTCACTCTGCCGCTCCAGCTCCAGTGAACATCCAGGGAAAGGACATCGAGAGAGTGGACTCTTACAAGTACCTGGGTGTTCATCTGAACCACAAACTGGACTGGACTCATAACACAGACGCCCTCTTCAAGAAGGTTCAGAGCCGCCTCTACCTACTGAGGAGGCTTAGGTCTTTTGGAGTGCAGGGGCCACTCCTGAAGACCTTCTATGACTCTGTGGTGGCATCAGCCTCTTGTACGGTGTGGTCTGCTGGAGCAGCAGTATCACAGAGAGGGACAGGAAGAAGCTGGAACATCAGGAAGTCCAGCTCAGTCCTGGGCTGTTCCCTGGACACAGTGCAGCAGGTGGGGGACAGGAGGGTCCTGAGCAAACTAACATCTATGCTGGACCATGACTGTCGCCCCCTGCAGGACACTCTCTCTGCTCTGGAGAGCAGCTTCAGTGACAGACTAATTCACCCTCGATGTGTGAAGGAGAGGTTCTGTAGGTCTTTCCTTCCTGCTGCTGTCAGACTGTACAACGAGAATGTGTAACAGGAACTGCTGAGTCTGCACAAGTGTCACTGATAATTAACTAGTAACTTGTCACTAGTCACTTTACCTGTTATCAGTACTACTGCAGTACTACATATCTGATGTTTACTGTTATCAGTACTACTGTATATTTCATATCTGATAATTCTGCCTTCCACCGTCACTTTACCTGTTGATATTATTTCTGATGTTTATTCTCATATTCTCATATTCTCCGCTGCTAATGTATAATATAGACATCTGTAAATACTCCGAACCAAGTGCAATTATAGCCCAGATTTTCTTATTTTATTTTATTTATTTTTTATTGTCTTCAATAAGTCCACAGTCCGTCTTCAATAAGTCCACAGTCCGTCTTCAATAAGTCCACAGTCCGTCTTCAATAAGTCCACAGTCCGTCTTCAATAAGTCCACAGTCCGTCTTCAATAAGTCCACAGTCCGTCTTCAATAAGTCCACAGTCCGTCTTCAATAAGTCCACAGTCCGTCTTCAATAAGTCCACAGTCCGTCTTCAATATGTCCACAGTCCGTCTTCAATAAGTCCACAGTCGCCCCGTCTTCAATAAGTCCGTCTCAATAGTCCGTCTTCAATAAGTCCACAGTCCGTCTTCAATAAGTCCACAGTCCGTCTTCAATATGTCCACAGTCCGTCTTCAATATGTCCACAGTCCGTCTTCAATAAGTCCACAGTCCTGCTTCAATATGTCCACAGTCCGTCTTCAATAAGTCCACAGTCCGTCTTCAATATGTCCACAGTCCGTCTTCAATAAGTCCACAGTCCGTCTTCAATAAGTCCACAGTCCGTCTTCAATATGTCCACAGTCCGTCTTCAATAAGTCCACAGTCCGTCTTCAATAAGTCCACAGTCCGTCTTCAATAAGTCCACAGTCCGTCTTCAATAAGTCCACAGTCCGTCTTCAATAAGTCCACAGTCCGTCTTCAATAAGTCCACCGTCCGTCTTCAATAAGTCCACAGTCCGTCTTCAATAAGTCCACAGTCCGTCTTCAATATGTCCACAGTCGTCTTCAATATGTCCACAGTCCGTCTTCAATAAGTCCACAGTCCGTCTTCAATAAGTCCACAGTCCGTCTTCAATAAGTCCACAGTCCGTCTTCAATATGTCCACAGTCCGTCTTCAATATGTCCACAGTCCGTCTTCAATATGTCCACAGTCCGTCTTCAATAAGTCCACAGTCCGTCTTCAATAAGTCCACAGTCCGTCTTCAATAAGTCCACAGTCCGTCTTCAATAAGTCTACAGTCCTGCTTCAATAAGTCCACAGTCCGTCTTCAATAAGTCCACAGTCCGTCTTCAATAAGTCCACAGTCCGTCTTCAATAAGTCCACAGTCCGTCTTCAATAAGTCCACAGTCCGTCTTCAATAAGTCCACAGTCCTGCTTCAATATGTCCACAGTCCGTCTTCAATATGTCCACAGTCCGTCTTCAATAAGTCCACAGTCCTGCTTCAATATGTCCACAGTCCGTCTTCAATAAGTCCACAGTCCGTCTTCAATAAGTCCACAGTCCGTCTTCAATAAGTCCACAGTCCGTCTTCAATAAGTCCACAGTCCGTCTTCAATATGTCCACAGTCCGTCTTCAATAAGTCCACAGTCCGTCTTCAATATGTCCACAGTCCGTCTTCAATAAGTCCACAGTCCGTCTTCAATATGTCCACAGTCCGTCTTCAATAAGTCCACAGTCCGTCTTCAATAAGTCCACAGTCCGTCTTCAATAAGTCCACAGTCCTGCTTCAATAAGTCCACAGTCCGTCTTCAATAAGTCCACAGTCTGTCTTCAATAAGTCCACAGTCCGTCTTCAATAAGTCCACAGTCCGTCTTCAATAAGTCCACAGTCCGTCTTCAATATGTCCACAGTCGTCTTCAATATGTCCACAGTCCGTCTTCAATAAGTCCACAGTCCGTCTTCAATAAGTCCACAGTCCGTCTTCAATAAGTCCACAGTCCGTCTTCAATATGTCCACAGTCCGTCTTCAATATGTCCACAGTCCGTCTTCAATATGTCCACAGTCCGTCTTCAATAAGTCCACAGTCCGTCTTCAATAAGTCCACAGTCCGTCTTCAATAAGTCCACAGTCCGTCTTCAATAAGTCTACCGTCCGTCTTCAATAAGTCCACAGTCCGTCTTCAATAAGTCCACAGTCCGTCTTCAATAAGTCCACAGTCCGTCTTCAATAAGTCCACAGTCCGTCTTCAATAAGTCCACAGTCCGTCTTCAATAAGTCCACAGTCCGTCTTCAATAAGTCCACAGTCCGTCTTCAATATGTCCACAGTCCGTCTTCAATAAGTCCACAGTCCGTCTTCAATAAGTCCACAGTCCGTCTTCAATAAGTCCACAGTCCGTCTTCAATAAGTCCACAGTCCGTCTTCAATATGTCCACAGTCCGTCTTCAATAAGTCCACAGTCCGTCTTCAATATGTCCACAGTCCGTCTTCAATAAGTCCACAGTCCGTCTTCAATATGTCCACAGTCCGTCTTCAATAAGTCCACAGTCCGTCTTCAATAAGTCCACAGTCCGTCTTCAATAAGTCCACAGTCCTGCTTCAATATGTCCACAGTCCGTCTTCAATAAGTACACAGTCCGTCTTCAATAAGTCTACAGTCCTGCTTCAATAAGTCCACAGTCCGTCTTCAATAAGTCCACAGTCCGTCTTCAATAAGTCCACAGTCCGTCTTCAATAAGTCCACAGTCCGTCTTCAATAAGTCCACAGTCGTCTTCAATAAGTCCACAGTCCGTCTTCAATAAGTCCACAGTCCGTCTTCAATAAGTCCACAGTCCGTCTTCAATAAGTCCACAGTCCGTCTTCAATAAGTCCACAGTCGTCTTCAATAAGTCCACAGTCCGTCTTCAATAAGTCCACAGTCCGTCTTCAATAAGTCCACAGTCCGTCTTCAATAAGTCCACAGTCCGTCTTCAATAAGTCTACAGTCCGTCTTCAATAAGTCCACAGTCGTCTTCAATAAGTCCACAGTCCGTCTTCAATAAGTCCACAGTCCGTCTTCAATAAGTCCACAGTCCGTCTTCAATAAGTCCACAGTCCGTCTTCAATAAGTCTACAGTCCGTCTTCAATAAGTCCACAGTCCGTCTTCAATATGTCCACAGTCCTGCTTCAATAAGTCCACAGTCCGTCTTCAATAATGTGGCAGGGGTTTGGAGGAGCCTGAAGACCATCTCGGGCTTCAAAACACCCCCTGTCCAGCCTGTGGGGGACCCCCAGTGGGTTAATGATCTAAACCAATTTTTCCTGCGGTTTGATCAGAGACCCACCCCTCCCCCAGCTCAGCTGCATGCCCTAGCCGCCTCAGCAGTGGACAATAGCCCAGTCGTTCACACCTCTGTCGGTGCCCCACGGCCCCCCTCCCATCAGACACACAGACTCACCCAGCCCCCCAGCCCTCCCCTTTCTTTCACACCTGCTCAGGTGAGAGGTGTGATGAAGAAAATCAATACCAGGAAGGCGGCGGGACCAGACCATGTGAGCGCCAGGCTCCTCAGCTCCTGTGCAGACGAACTGTGCAGAGTTATGGGGCACGTCTTCAACATGAGCCTCCGCCTGAGGTCGGTACCACAGCTCTGGAAGACCTCCTGTGTGGTACCAGTGCCCAAGAAACCACGGGCCAAAGACCTCAGCAATTTCAGGCCAGTGGCTCTAACATCCCACTGCATGAAGACACTGGAGAGACTGGTCCTGGGACATCTCCGCTCCACTCTGAGCCCAGCGATGGACCCGCTGCAGTTCGCCTACAGGCCGGGCATCGGAGTCGAGGACGCCATCATCTCCCTCCTCCATCGCTCCCTGTCCCACCTGGAGAAACCCGGCTCCACTGTGAGGATCCTCTTTGCTTTCTCCAGTGCCTTCAACACCATCCAGCCGAGGCTTCTCAGGGACAAGCTGTAGACAGCTGGAGTGGACTACGACCTGTCTGAGTGGATCCTGGACTACCTCACAGACAGACCCCAGTTTGTGAGAACCAGGGACTTTGTGTCTGAGGTCCTGACCTGCAGTGTGGGAGCCCCCCAGGGGACAGTCCTCGCACCGTTCCTCTTCACCCTCTACACTGCAGACTTCAGACGCAACACGGACGGTTGTGTTCTACAGAAGTTCTCAGACGACTCTGCCGTCATCGGACTCAGCTCCGAGGACGATGACACAGAGGAGTCCTTCAGGACTTTGTGGACTGGTGTCAGCGGAACCACCTCCTCATCAACGCGGGGAAGACCAAGGAGATGAACCACCTCCTCATCAACGCGGGGAAGACCAAGGAGATGAACCACCTCCTCATCAACGCGGGGAAGACCAAGGAGATGAACCACCTCCTCATCAACGCGGGGAAGACCAAGGAGATGAACCACCTCCTCATCAACGCGGGGAAGACCAAGGAGATGAACCACCTCCTCATCAACGCGGGGAAGACCAAGGAGATGAACCACCTCCTCATCAACGCGGGGAAGACCAAGGAGATGAACCACCTCCTCATCAACGTGAGGAAGACCAAGGAGATGAACCACCTCCTCATCAACGTGAGGAAGACCAAGGAGATGAACCACCTCCTCATCAACGTGAGGAAGACCAAGGAGATGAACCACCTCCTCATCAACGTGAGGAAGACCAAGGAGATGAACCACCTCCTCATCAATGTGAGGAAGACCAAGGAGATGAACCACCTCCTCATCAACGCGGGGAAGACCAAGGAGATGAACCACCTCCTCATCAACGCGGGGAAGACCAAGGAGATGAACCACCTCCTCATCAACGCGGGGAAGACCAAGGAGATGAACCACCTCCTCATCAACGTGAGGAAGACCAAGGAGATGAACCACCTCCTCATCAACGTGAGGAAGACCAAGGAGATGAACCACCTCCTCATCAACGTGAGGAAGACCAAGGAGATGAACCACCTCCTCATCAACGCGGGAAGACCAAGGAGATGAACCACCTCCTCATCAACGCGGGGAAGACCAAGGAGATGGTGGTGGATTTCCGCAGACGTCACTCTGCCGCTCCAGCTCCAGTGAACATCCAGGGAAAGGACATCGAGAGAGTGGACTCTTACAAGTACCTGGGTGTTCATCTGAACCACAAACTGGACTGGACTCATAACACAGACGCCCTCTTCAAGAAGGTTCAGAGCCGCCTCTACCTACTGAGGAGGCTTAGGTCTTTTGGAGTGCAGGGGCCACTCCTGAAGACCTTCTATGACTCTGTGGTGGCATCAGCCTCTTGTACGGTGTGGTCTGCTGGAGCAGCAGTATCACAGAGAGGGACAGGAAGAAGCTGGAACATCAGGAAGTCCAGCTCAGTCCTGGGCTGTTCCCTGGACACAGTGCAGCAGGTGGGGGACAGGAGGGTCCTGAGCAAACTAACATCTATGCTGGACCATGACTGTCGCCCCCTGCAGGACACTCTCTCTGCTCTGGAGAGCAGCTTCAGTGACAGACTAATTCACCCTCGATGTGTGAAGGAGAGGTTCTGTAGGTCTTTCCTTCCTGCTGCTGTCAGACTGTACAACGAGAATGTGTAACAGGAACTGCTGAGTCTGCACAAGTGTCACTGATAATTAACTAGTAACTTGTCACTAGTCACTTTACCTGTTATCAGTACTACTGCAGTACTACATATCTGATGTTTACTGTTATCAGTACTACTGTATATTTCATATCTGATAATTCTGCCTTCCACCGTCACTTTACCTGTTGATATTATTTCTGATGTTTATTCTCATATTCTCATATTCTCATATTCTCCGCTGCTAATGTATAATATAGACATCTGTAAATACTCCGAACCAAGTGCAATTATAGCCCAGATTTTCTTATTTTATTTTATTTATTTTATCTTAAATTTATTGTCTATTGTCTTAAATAATAGACTTTGATGTGTGCGTCTGAGTCTTATTTCCTCTCTCTGCTGTAATGTGCAACGATGACACTGACATTTCTCCACTGTGAGACTAATAAAGGTTTATCTTATCTCTTATCTTATCTTATAAGTCCACAGTCCGTCTTCAATAAGTCCACAGTCCGTCTTCAATAAGTCCACAGTCCGTCTTCAATAAGTCCACAGTCCGTCTTCAATATGTCCACAGTCCGTCTTCAATAAGTCCACAGGCCGTCTTCAATAAGTCCACAGTCTGTCTTCAATAAGTCCACAGTCCGTCTTCAATATGTCCACAGTCCGTCCAATAATGAGCCCTTTCAGGTCATTGCACTGTTTGCTCTTAACATGAGGTGTAACAAACACAGACCAGAGCTGGAAGTGCTCACACTTTTACATTCTCAGATATTGTAATGTCAGCCTCTTTTCCCACGCTTCTCTGATGCTCGAGACGTTCTTAAATGACAACATTTATACACTATCGTTATTTGTTGGGCGTTGCAGACCTACTGTTGGGCGTTGCAGACCTACTGTTGGGCGCTGCAGACCTACTGTTGGGCGTTGCAGACCTACTGTTGGGCGCTGCAGACCTACTGTTGGGCGTTGCAGACCTACTGTTGGGCGTTGCAGACCTACTGTTGGGCGCTGCAGACCTACTGTTGGGCGTTGCAGACCTACTGTTGGGCGTTGCAGACCTACTGTTGGGCGTTGCAGGGACCTACTGTTGTGGCGTTGCAGACCTACTGTTGGGCGCTGCAGACCTACTGTTGGGCGCTGCAGACCTACTGTTGGGCGTTGCAGACCTAATGTTGGGCGTTGCAGACCTAATGTTGGGCGTTGCAGACCTACTGTTGGGCGCTGCAGACCTACTGTTGGGCGTTGCAGACCTAATGTTGGGCGTTGCAGACCTACTGTTGGGCGTTGCAGACCTAATGTTGGGCGTTGCAGACCTACTGTTGGGCGCTGCAGACCTACTGTTGGGCGTTGCAGACCTAATGTTGGGCGTTGCAGACCTACTGTTGGGCGTTGCAGACCTAATGTTGGGCGTTGCAGACCTAATGTTGGGCGTTGCAGACCTACTGTTGGGCGTTGCAGACCTACTACGATGTATCCTTTGGTATAATTATTCCCACCTACACCCTGTCCTCCTGCTCCCCCTCCTGACAGTGTGTTGCAGAAAGAGAAAGTGTGTTGCAGAAAGGGTGTGTTGCAGAAAGTGTGTTGCAGAAAGAGAAAGTGTGTTGCAGAAAGTGTGTTGCAGAAAGAGAAAGTGTGTTGCAGAAAGAGAGAGTGTAGCAGAACGAGAGAGTGTGTAGTTTGTGTTTTAGGTTTAAAACAAAAGCTTCAGGTTGTGTAACTTTGGTCTAAGTGTGTGTCTGTAGTGTTCAAGCAACAGGAAAAAACTAATGAAAAGTTGTGAAATTTTGCCCAAAATTCAGAACTGGCAAAAAATTTATTTTTTTGGTGTTTATTTTTATGGGACTAAAAAAATGCCCGAACAGCGCCCCCTACAAAAGTCAGTTTACATTGCGCCTATGGGAGGAGGTCAAAGGTCAGGTTTGTCATAGAGCCACAAAACTCGGTACACATGTTCCTCAGGTCAAGACATGAAAAAAAAGTTATTATGGCTCCGCCCCCTGACAAACAGGGAGCTCATTAATTTAATTGGAAAATGGAAAAATGAAAATTGATCTTTTTCACACATGTCGGCTGGAAATTATCTCCTCCTCGGCCGCTTCACCGATTTGTCTCAAAATCATTCCACATGGTCTCAACACATGGACCATCAATAGTTGCATATAGAATTTTAATTAGTCAAACGGTCTGAGCGTGACAGACCCCCAAAGTGTGGTTATTTTCATTGAGAGGTGTGAAGTTCCCATGTTATCCAATGGAGACTGTATGGACACACTCACAGATTGTATGAACAAACAGGAGCACATTTACAAACTCTGATATTCACTAAACTTGACTTTGTTGTTCAACTCCTGGGCCTAGGTCACATGACTGTGTGAACAATGACATTGTCCCATTATCGCCCCCTACAGGCTGAGTAAAGGTTTACATGGGGATACATATTTAGGTTTTCTGTTGTTTGATCTCATATTTGACCCACTGAACAAACACAAAAACTCACCAAACTTTGCCACAAGTTTTTTTCAGGCATAAAGTGTATTATTTTGGTGTTCTTTGGTACAAGACTAAAAATTGAAATTGTAGGGGGCGCTATTTTACAACATAAATGCCACCATTTGCACATACAAAGTCCGATTTGCACAAAATTTGAAATGATTGTTCAACTCTCGGGTTTGGGTAAACTGAAAGTGTAAAAGACGAAATTGCAGCAATAGCGTCCCCTACAGAGTGATACAAGTATTACATGGGGAGAATTAGGTTTACCTTTTCAAAGACACACACAATCACTGATCATAGGAATTTTAGTGAACATTTTCAAATCTTCATGTGGGCGGAGTCAGGCTCGGCACAGACTAAACATATACAACATAAACAAAAACATGCAGTCCCTGTGATGACCCCGCGCCCACTGCAACAGACCCCACCCCCTCTGACGCAGACCCCACCCCCACTGCCGCAGACCCCACCCCCTCTGCAACAGACCCCACCCCCTCTGCAACAGACCCCGTCCCAGCCACTGAGTCCTGAGGAGGCTCGGTGTGAATGAGGCTTTAATTGTTTTTGAAGCAGCAGAACTGAGGATACAATGTTTCAAAGAAAACCAACAGATTTAAAATATTACTTCATTTAATTTGTGCAAAAAACACCTCAGTCTTTGATCTGCTCGAGTAGGGTAGAGTAGAGTAGGGTAGATTAGGGTAGGGTAGGGTAGGGTAGGGTAGGGTAGGGTCACAGTTCGGTGCAAAAATATAAAAACGTTGGAAAAAAAGTGGAGGAGGAGGTCTGCACCTCAGGAGGTGCAGCAGGAGGAGGAGGTCTGCAGCAGGAGGAGGAGGTCTACATCAGGAGGAGGAGGTCTGCAGCAGGAGGAGGAGGAGGTCTACATCAGGAGGAGGAGGTCTACATCAGGAGGAGGAGGTCTGCAGCAGGAGGAGGAGGTCTATAGCAGGAGGAGGAGGTCTACATCAGGAGGAGGAGGTCTGCAGCAGGAGGAGGAGGTCTACATCAGGAGGAGGAGGTCTGCAGCAGGAGGAGGAGGTCTGCAGCAGGAGGAGGAGGTCTGCAGCAGGAGGAGGAGGTCTGCAGCAGGAGGAGAAGGTCTGCAGCAGGAGGAGGAGGTCTGCAGCAGGAGGAGGAGGTCTACATCAGGAGGAGGAGGTCTACATCAGGAGGAGGAGGTCTGCAGCAGGAGGAGGAGGTCTACAGCAGGAGGAGGAGGTCTACATCAGGAGGAGGAGGTCTGCAGCAGGAGGAGGAGGTCTACAGCAGGAGGAGGAGGTCTACAGCAGGAGGAGGAGGTCTACAGCAGGAGGAGGAGGTCTACATCAGGAGGAGGAGGTCTGCAGCAGGAGGAGGTCTACAGCAGGAGGAGGAGGTCTACATCAGGAGAGAGAGGAGGGGGAGCGCTCCGAACAGACCCCAGCTCAGACGGACCTCCTCAGATGAAGACCGGGACCATCGCACCTCGTCTGATCCCTCTGCAACAACAGATAGAGTCTGGTCTAGAGTCTGGTCTACAGCCTGGGTCCTGGTCTTGCCACAGTCCTGGTCTTGCCACAGTCCTGGTCTTGCCACAGTCCTGGTCTTGCCACAGTCCTGGTCTTGCCACAGTCCTGGTCTTGCCACAGTCCTGGTCTTGCCACAGTCCTGGTCTTGCCACAGTCCTGGTCTTGCCACAGTCCTGGTCTTGCCACAGTCCTGGTCTTGCCACAGTCCTGGTCTTGCCACAGTCCTGGTCTTGCCACAGTCCTGGTCTTGCCACAGTCCTGGTCTTGCCACAGTCCTGGTCTTGCCACAGTCCTGGTCTTGCCACAGTCCTGGTCTTGCCACAGTCCTGGTCTTGCCACAGTCCTGGTCTTGGTCTAGTCCTGGTCTAGTCCTGGTCTAGTCCTGGTCTAGTCCTGGTCTAGTCCTGGTCTAGTCCTGGTCTAGTCCTGGTCTAGTCCTGGTCTAGTCCTGGTCTAGTCCTGGTCTTACCACAGTCCTGGTGGAAGACATGATGGAAACAGTGCCAGAGTCCGTAACCACAGCGACAGTACGAGCAGCCCTTCTGAACCCACTGACCATGGGGCACCGGCCCACAGCTCCTGAGGAACCAGCAAGCACAACCATGAAGCACGACCAGGAAGCACGACCAGGAAGCACGACCAGGAAGCACGACCAGGAAGCACGACCAGGAAGCACGACCAGGAAACCAGGAAGCACGACCAGGAGACGCAAGCACGACCAGGAGACGCAAGCACGACCAGGAGACGCAAGCACGACCAGGAGACGCAAGCACGACCAGGAGACGCAAGCACGACCAGGAGACGCAAGCACGACCAGGAGACGCAAGCACGACCAGGAGACGCAAGCACGACCAGGAGACGCAAGCACGACCAGGAGACGCAAGCACGACCAGGAGACGCAAGCACGACCAGGAGACGCAAGCACGACCAGGAGACGCAAGCACGACCAGGAGACGCAAGCACGACCAGGAGACGCAAGCACGACCAGGAGACGCACACGCGAGCACACGACCAGGAGACGCAAGCACGACCAGGAGACGCAAGCACGACCAGGAGACGCAAGCACGACCAGGAGACGCAAGCACGACCAGAGAGACGCAAGCACGACCAGGAGACGCAAGCACGACCAGGAGACGCAAGCACGACCAGGAGACGCAAGCACGACCAGGAGACGCAAGCACGACCAGGAGACGCAAGCACGACCAGGAGACGCAAGCACGACCAGGAGACGCAAGCACGACCAGGAGACGCAAGCACGACCAGGAGACGCAAGCACGACCAGGAGACGCAAGCACGACCAGGAGACGCAAGCACGACCAGGAGACGCAAGCACGACCAGGAGACGCAAGCACGACCAGGAGACGCAAGCACGACCAGGAGACGCAAGCACGACCAGGAGACGCAAGCACGACCAGGAGACGCAAGCACGACCAGGAGACGCAAGCACGACCAGGAGACGCAAGCACGACCAGGAGACGCAAGCACGACCAGGAGACGCAAGCACGACCAGAGACGCAAGCACGACCAGGAGACGCAAGCACGACCAGGAGACGCAAGCACGACCAGGAGACGCAAGCACGACCAGGAGACGCAAGCACGACCAGGAGACGCAAGCACGACCAGGAGACGCAAGCACGACCAGGAGACGCAAGCACGACCAGGAGACACTCACACAGACACTCAGGGAGACACTCAGGGAGACACTCAGGGAGACACTCAGGGAGACACTCAGGGAGACACTCAGGGAGACACTCAGGGAGACACTCAGGGAGACACTCAGGGAGACACTCAGGGAGACACTCAGGGAGACACTCAGGGAGACACTCAGGGAGACACTCAGGGAGACACTCAGGGAGACACTCAGGGAGACACTCAGGGAGACACTCAGGGAGACACTCAGGGAGACACTCAGGGAGACTCACTCAGGGAGACACTCAGGGAGACACTCAGGGAGACACTCAGGGAGACACTCAGGGAGACACTCAGGGAGACACTCAGGGAGACACTCAGGAGACACTCAGGGAGACACTCAGGGAGACACTCAGAGAGACACTCAGGGAGACACTCAGGGAGACACTCAGGGAGACACTCAGGAGACACTCAGGAGACACTCAGGGAGACACTCAGGGAGACACTCAGGGAGACACTCAGGGAGACACTCAGGGAGACACTCAGGGAGACACTCAGGGAGACACTCAGGAGACACTCAGGGAGACACTCAGGGAGACACTCAGGGAGACACTCAGGGAGACACTCAGGGAGACACTCAGGGAGACACTCAGGGAGACACTCAGGGAGACACTCAGGGAGACACTCAGGGAGACACTCAGGGAGACACTCAGGGAGACACTCAGGGAGACACTCAGGGAGACACTCAGGAGACACTCAGGGAGACACTCAGGGAGACACTCAGGGAGACACTCAGGGAGACACTCAGGAGACACTCAGGGAGACACTCAGGGAGACACTCAGGGAGACACTCAGAGAGACACTCAGAGACACTCAGGGAGACACTCAGGAGACACTCAGGGAGACACTCAGGGAGACACTCAGGGAGACACTCAGGGAGACACTCAGGGAGACACTCAGGGAGACACTCAGGGAGACACTCAGGGAGACACTCAGGGAGACACTCAGGGAGACACTCAGGGAGACACTCAGGGAGACACTCAGGGAGACACTCAGGGAGACACTCAGGGAGACACTCAGGGAGACACTCAGGGAGACACTCAGGGAGACACTCAGGGAGACACTCAGGGAGACACTCAGGGAGACACTCAGGGAGACACTCAGGGAGACACTCAGGGAGACACTCAGGGAGACACTCAGGAGACACTCAGGGAGACACTCAGGGAGACACTCAGGGAGACACTCAGGGAGACACTCAGGGAGACACTCAGGGAGACACTCAGGGAGACACTCAGGGAGACACTCAGGAGAGACACTCAGGGAGACACTCAGGGAGACACTCAGGGAGACACTCAGAGAGACACTCAGGACACTCAGAGACACTCAGGAGACACTCAGGGAGACACTCAGGAGAGACACTCAGGAGACACTCAGGGAGACACTCAGGGAGACACTCAGAGACACTCAGGGAGACACTCTCAGGAGAGAGACACTCAGAAACACTCACACAGAGACAGAGAGAGACTCACACAGAGACAGAGAGACACACACAGAGACAGACACACACAGAGACAGAGACACACACGGAGACAGAGACACACACAGAGACAGAGAGACACACAGAGACACAGAGACAGAGAGACACACAGAGACAGAGAGACACACAGAGACAGAGAGACACACAGAGACAGAGAGACACACAGAGACAGAGAGACACACAGAGAGACACTCAGAGAGACACTCAGGGAGACACTCAGAGAGACACTCAGAGAGACACTCAGGGAGACACTCAGGGAGACACTCAGGGAGACACTCAGAGAAACACTCAGAGAAACACTCAGGGAGACACTCAGGGAGACACTCAGGGAGACACTCAGAGAGACACTCAGAGAGACACTCAGAGAGACACTCAGGGAGACACTCAGGGAGACACTCAGAGAGACACTCAGAGAGACACTCAGGGAGACACTCAGGGAGACACTCAGGGAGACACTCAGGGAGACACCAGGAGAAACACTCAGGGAGACACTCAGAGAGACACTCAGAGACACTCAGAGAGACACTCAGGGAGACACTCAGGGAGACACTCAGGGAGACACTCAGGGAGACACTCAGGGAGACACTCAGGGACACTCAGGGAGACACTCAGAGAGACACTCAGGGAGACACTCAGGGAGACACTCAGGGAGACACTCAGGGAGACACTCAGAGAGACACTCAGAGAGACACTCAGGGAGACACTCAGGGAGACACTCAGGGAGACACTCAGAGAGACACTCAGGGAGACACTCAGGGAGACACTCAGGGAGACACTCAGAGAGACACTCAGGGAGACACTCAGGGAGACACTCAGAGAGACACTCAGAGAGACACTCAGGGAGACACTCAGGGAGACACTCAGAGAAACACTCACACAGAGACAGAGAGAGACTCACACAGAGACAGAGAGACACACACAGAGACAGAGACACACACAGAGACAGAGACACACACGGAGACAGAGACACACACAGAGACAGAGAGACACACAGAGACACAGAGACAGAGAGACACACAGAGACAGAGAGACACACAGAGACAGAGAGACACACAGAGACAGAGAGACACACAGAGACAGAGAGACACACAGAGACAGAGAGACACACAGAGACAGAGAGACACACAGAGACAGAGAGACACACAGACAGAGAGACACACAGAGACACACACAGAGACAGAGAGACACACACAGAGACAGAGAGACACACAGAGACAGAGACACACAGAGACAGAGACACACAGAGACAGAGAGACACACAGAGACAGACACACACAGAGACAGACACACACAGAGACAGACACACACAGAGACAGAGAGACACACAGAGACAGAGAGACACACAGAGACAGAGAGACACACAGAGACAGAGAGACACACAGAGACAGAGAGACACACAGAGACAGAGAGAGACTCACACACACACACACACAGACACAGACCTCAGTTGTGTGTCGTACTCGCAGCTCCTCCCGCTGAAGCCTGTGGGACACGCACAGAAGCTGCCGAGGATACAGGTGCCTCCGTTCATACAGCAGCTGCGGCTCTGCTCTGCACCTGTACCAGCAGAGACACCATCAGAGACACCAGCAGAGACACCAGCAGAGACACCATCAGAGACACCAGCAGAGACACCATCAGAGACACCAGCACCAGCAGAGACACCATCAGAGACACCAGCACCAGCAGAGACACCATCAGAGACACCAGGACACCAGAGAGACACCAGCAGAGACACCATCAGAGACACCAGCAGAGACACCATCAGAGACACCAGCACCAGCAGAGACACCATCAGAGACACCAGCACCAGCAGAGACACCAGCAGAGACACCAGCAGAGACACCAGCAGAGACACCAGCAGAGACACCAGCAGAGACACCATCAGAGACACCAGCAGAGACACCAGCAGAGACACACCAGCAGAGACACCATCAGAGACACCAGCAGAGACACCATCAGAGACACCATCAGAGACACCATCAGAGACACCATCAGAGACACCATCAGAGACACCATCAGAGACACCATCAGAGACACCAGCAGAGACACCAGCAGAGACACCAGCAGAGACACCATCAGAGACACCATCAGAGACACCATCAGAGACACCATCAGAGACACCAGCAGAGACACCATCAGAGACACCAGCAGAGACACCATCACCAGCAGAGACACCCAGCAGAGACACCAGCAGAGACACCATCAGAGACACCATCAGAGATACAGGTGCCTCCGTTCATACAGCAGCTGCGGCTCTGCTCTGCACCTGTACCAGCAGAGACACCATCAGAGACACCAGCAGAGACACCATCAGAGACACCAGCAGAGACACCATCAGAGACACCAGCAGAGACACCAGCAGAGACACCATCAGAGACACCATCAGAGACACCATCAGAGATACAGGTGCCTCCGTTCATACAGCAGCTGCGGCTCTGCTCTGCACCTGTACCAGCAGAGACACCATCAGAGACACCAGCAGAGACACCAGCAGAGACACCAACACCATCAGAGACACCAACACCATCAGAGACACCAGCAGAGACACCATCAGACACACCATCAGAGACACCAGCAGAGACACCAGCAGAGACACCAGCAGATACACCAGCAGAGACACCAGCAGAGACACCAGCAGAGACACCAGCAGAGACACCAGCAGAGACACCAGCAGAGACACCAGCAGAGACACCATCAGAGACACCATCAGAGACACCATCAGAGACACCATCAGAGACACCAGCAGAGACACCATCAGAGACACCAGCAGAGACACCAGCAGAGACACCAGCAGAGACACCAGCAGAGACACCAGCAGAGACACCAGCAGAGACACCATCAGAGATACAGGTGCCTCCGTTCATACAGCAGCTGCGGCTCTGCTCTGCACCTGTACCAGCAGAGACACCATCAGAGACACCATCAGAGACACCAGCAGAGACACCATCAGAGACACCATCAGAGACACCATCAGAGACACCAGCAGAGACACCATCAGAGACACCATCAGAGACACCATCAGAGACACCATCAGAGACACCAGCAGAGACACCAGCAGAGACACCATCAGAGATACAGGTGCCTCCGTTCATACAGCAGCTGCGGCTCTGCTGTGCACCTGTACCAGCAGAGACACCATCAGAGACACCAGCAGAGACACCATCACCATCAGAGACACCAGCAGAGACACCATCAGAGACACCAGCAGAGACACCAGCAGAGACACCAGCAGAGACACCAGCAGAGACACCAACACCATCAGAGACTCCAGCAGAGACACCAGCAGAGACACCAGCAGAGACACCATCAGAGACACCAACAGAGACACCAACAGAGACACCAACAGAGACACCAACAGAGACACCATCAGAGACACCATCAGAGACACCAGCAGAGACACCATCACCAGCAGAGACACCAGCAGAGACACCAACACCATCACCATCACCATCAGAGACTCCATCAGAGACACCATCAGAGACACCATCAGAGACACCATCAGAGACACCAACACCATCAGAGACTCCATCAGAGACACCAGCAGAGACACCAGCAGAGACACCAGCAGAGACACCATCAGAGACACCATCATAGACACACCAGCAGAGACACCATCAGAGACACCATCAGAGACACCATCAGAGACACCAGCCACCATCAGAGACAGAGACACCAGCAGAGACACCAGCAGAGACACCATCAGAGACACCATCAGAGACACCATCAAGACTCAAGACACCATCAGAGACACCAGCAGAGACTCCAGCAGAGACACCATCAGAGACACCATCAGAGACACCATCAGAGACACCATCAGAGACACCATCAGAGACACCAGCAGAGACACCATCAGAGACCAACACCATCAGAGACACCATCAGAGACACCATCAGAGACACCATCAGAGACACCATCAGAGACACCATCAGAGACACCAACACCATCAGAGACTCCATCAGAGACACCAGCAGAGACACCAGCAGAGACACCAGCAGAGACACCATCAGAGACACCATCAGAGACACCATCACCATCAGAGATACCAGCAGAGACACCAACACCATCAGAGACTCCATCAGAGACACCATCAGAGACACCATCAGAGACACCATCAGAGACACCATCAGAGACACCAACACCATCAGAGACTCCAGCAGAGACACCAGCAGAGACACCATCAGAGACACCATCAGAGACACCAACAGAGACACCAACAGAGACACCAACAGAGACACCAACAGAGACACCATCAGAGACACCAGCAGAGACACCATCACCAGCAGAGACACCATCAGAGACACCAGCAGAGACACCATCAGAGACACCATCACCATCAGAGATACCAGCAGAGACACCAACACCATCACCATCAGAGACACCATCAGAGACACCAGCAGAGACACCATCACCATCAGAGACACCATCAGAGACACCATCAGAGACTCCCTCCCCTCCACCTCCCTGCTCCCCCTCGTCCAACACCCAAGCACCACCCACCTCTCCATCCTCCTCCCCCGCCTTCCCCTTCCCCTCTTATCTCTAAACCCTAGGCTGCACAGGGTCCACTGGCAGTCTTCTTTGACATGTGTTTCACTAACAAACCACCAGTGGACTCTGCAACTGTTCGAAGAAGACACATAAATGAAAATACGAGTGAACTATTTATGGAAATGATAAACTTTGAGAATGCATCGTATTCTACTGTAGATGAACTGTTTAACTCTGTCACCTCTAGTGTTTTGAAAGTTCTGGATACCGTTGCCCCTGTGAAGGTTAAAATAGTGAAAAATAAGCAGAAGGCGCCGTGGGCTAAAGCAGACTCGGTCAGGGCACAAAAGAGAGAGTGCCGGAGGGCCGAGCGGAAGTGGCGCAAGTCCAACCTCCAGGTTGATTACGAGATCTTCAAAGATAAGTTGTGCGAGTTTAACCGGGTGCTACGTAGTACGAGAGAAAGGTATTTTTCTGAAATGATTGAAGGCTGCAGCAACAATCTGTGTGTTCTGTTCTCAACAATTAATAGATTAACAAACCCCCCTGTTCAGATGCCATTAGAGCTTACTTCCAAACGTAAATGTAATGAGTTTGCTAATTTTTTCAATGACAAGGTTCAAGGCATCAAAAACGCCATTGTCTCCAATCCACAGATAACCATCCAACAGCCAGAAAGGCTCTTTGAGCTACACAACAGCTGCAGTACATTCAAAATGCAGCAGCTCCAGTCCTGACTAGAACCAGGAAGTACGACCACATTAGTCCTGACTAGAACCAGGAAGTACGACCACATTAGTCCTGACTAGAACCAGGAAGTACGACCACATTAGTCCTGACTAGAACCAGGAAGTACGACCATATTAGTCCTGACTAGAACCAGGAAGTACGATCACATTAGTCCTGACTAGAACCAGGAAGTACGACCACATTAGTCCTGACTAGAACCAGGAAGTACGATCACATTAGTCCTGACTAGAACCAGGAAGTACGACCATATTAGTCCTGACTAGAACCAGGAAGTACGACCACATTAGTCCCGACAAGAACCAGGAAGTACGACCATATTAGTCCTGACTAGAACCAGGAAGTACGACCACATTAGTCCTGACTAGAACCAGGAAGTACGACCATATTAGTCCTGACTAGAACCAGGAAGTACGACCACATTAGTCCCGACAAGAACCAGGAAGTACGACCACATTAGTCCTGACTAGAACCAGGAAGTACGACCACATTAGTCCTGACTAGAACCAGGAAGTACGACCACATTAGTCCTGACTAGAACCAGGAAGTACGACCACATTAGTCCTGACTAGAACCAGGAAGTACGACCACATTAGTCCTGACTAGAACCAGGAAGTACGACCACATTAGTCCTGACTAGAACCAGGAAGTACGACCACATTAGTCCTGACTAGAACCAGGAAGTACGACCACATTAGTCCTGACTAGAACCAGGAAGTATGATCACTGTCACTCCCGTATTCGTCCCGGAAACCGGATTTGTCCGGAAGTTCAGTTTGATCCAATGAGCATACGCAGCAGTAGATTACGCCCCTCTGGTCTCCGGCCCCTCTGGTCTCCGGCCCCTCTGGTCTCCGGCCCCTCTGGTCTCCGGCCCCTCTGGTCTCCGGCCCCTCTGGTCTCCGGCCCCTCTGGTCTCCGGCCCCTCTGGTCTCCGGCCCCTCTGGTCTCCGGCCCCTCTGGTCTCCGGCCCCTCTGGTCTCCGGCCCCTCTGGTCTCCGGCCCCTCTGGTCTCCGGCCCCTCTGGTCTCCGGCCCCTCTGGTCTCTGGCCCCTCTGGTCTCTGGCCCCTCTGGTCTCTGGCCCCTCTGGTCTCTGCCCCCTCTGGTCTCTGCCCCCTCTGGTCTCTGCCCCCTCTGGTCTCTGCCCCCTCTGGTCTCTGCCCCCTCTGGTCTCTGCCCCCTCTGGTCTCTGCCCCCTCTGGTCTCCCCTCTGGTCTCTGCCCCCTCTGGTCTCTGCCCCCTCTGGTCTCTGCCCCTCTGGTCTCTAATGAGTTGTAAACATAGCTGAGGTTTGTTCAGGGAGTGACTTTATCTCACAGGGGCCTGACACTTTTATCAGGGACCAGGAAGACCCCTGCTCGTACACTGCAGAACACAGGGACCAGGAAGACCCCCGCTCTTACACTGCAGACCACAGGGACCAGGAAGACCCCCGCTCTAACACTGCAGAACACAGGGACCAGGAAGACCCCCGCTCTAACACTGCAGAACACAGGGACCAGGAAGACCCCCGCTCTTACACTGCAGACCACAGGGACCAGGAAGACCCCTGCTCTAACACTGCAGAACACAGGGACCAGGAAGACCCCTGCTCTAACACTGCAGACCCTGGTCCTTATCTGAGGGTCAGCACTAGATCATACACGGAATCAGGACGGAAGCGGAAGTAAATATAACAAACTACCTATTCATACATAAACGTAACCATCTTACTCAGACCACCTTAACCCTAACCTTAACCATCTTACTCAGACCACCTTAACCCTAACCTTAACCATCTTACTCAGACCACCTTAACTCTAACCTTAACCATCTTACTCAGACCACCTTAACCCTAACCTTAACCATCTTACTCAGACCACCTTAACCCTAACCTTAACCATCTTACTCAGACCACCTTAACCCTAACCTTAACCATCTTACTCAGACCACCTTAACCCTAACCTTAACCATCTTACTCAGACCACCTTAACCCTAACCTTAACCATCTTACTCAGACCACCTTAACCCTAACATAACCATCTTACTCAGACCACCTTAACCCTAACCTTAACCATCTTACTCAGACCACCTTAACCCTAACCTTAACCATCTTACTCAGACCACCTTAACCCTAACCTTAACCATCTTACTCAGACCACCTTAACCCTAACCTTAACCATCTTACTCAGACCACCTTAACCCTAACCTTAACCATCTTACTCAGACCACCTTAACCCTAACCTTAACCATCTTACTCAGACCACCTTAACCCTAACCATAACCATCTTACTCAGACCACCTTAACCCTAACCATAACCATCTTACTCAGACCACCTTAACCCTAACCTTAACCATCTTACTCAGACCACCTTAACCCTAACCTTAACCATCTTACTCAGACCACCTTAACCATCTTACTCAGACCGCCTTAACCCTAACCTTAACCATCTTACTCAGACCACCTTAACCCTAACCTTAACCATCTTACTCAGACCACCTTAACCCTAACCTTAACCATCTTACTCAGACCACCTTAACCCTAACCTTAACCATCTTACTCAGACCACCTTAACCCTAACCTTAACCATCTTACTCAGACCCACCTTAACCCTAACCTTAACCATCTTACTCAGACCACCTTAACACTAACCTTAACCATCTTACTCAGACCACCTTAACCATCTTACTCAGACCGCCTTAACCCTAACCTTAACCATCTTACTCAGACCACCTTAACCCTAACCTTAACCATCTTACTCAGACCACCTTAACCCTAACCTTAACCATCTTACTCAGACCACCTTAACCCTAACCTTAACCATCTTACTCAGACCACCTTAACCCTAACCTTAACCATCTTACTCAGACCACCTTAACCCTAACCTTAACCATCTTACTCAGACCCACCTTAACCCTAACCTTAACCATCTTACTCAGACCACCTTAACCCTAACCTTAACCATCTTACTCAGACCACCTTAACCCTAACCTTAACCATCTTACTCAGACCACCTTAACCCTAACCTTAACCATCTTACTCAGACCCACCTTAACCCTAACCTTAACCATCTTACTCAGACCGCCTTAACACTAACCTTAACCATCTTACTCAGACCACCTTAACCCTAACCTTAACCATCTTACTCAGACCACCTTAACCCTAACCTTAACCATCTTACTCAGACCCACCTTAACCCTAACCTTAACCATCTTACTCAGACCACCTTAACCCTAACCTTAACCATCTTACTCAGACCCACCTTAACCCTAACCTTAACCATCTTACTCAGACCACCTTAACCCTAACCTTAACCATCTTACTCAGACCACCTTAACCCTAACCTTAACCATCTTACTCAGACCACCTTAACCCTAACCTTAACCATCTTACTCAGACCACCTTAACCCTAACCTTAACCATCTTACTCAGACCACCTTAACCCTAACCTTAACCATCTTACTCATACCACCTTAACCCTAACCTTAACCATCTTACTCAGGACCACCTTAACCCTAACCTTAACCATCCTGTCTCTCCCCTGCTCTTACCAGACCACCTGTCCCTCTCCCTTACTGCTCCTCCTTAACCTGTCTCTCCCTTACTGCTCCCTAACCTTAACCATCTCTCCCCTTAACCCTGCTTAACCATCCTCCTGTCTCTCCCCTGCTCATCCTCCTGTCTCTCCCCTGCTCCTCCTCCTAACCTCTCCCCTGCTCCTCCTGTCCCTCTCCCCTGCTCACGCTCCTGTCTCTCCCCTGCTCATCCTCCTGTCTCTCCCCTGCTCCTCCTGTCTCTCCCCTGCTCATCCTCCTGTGTCTCCCCTGCTCCTCCTGTCTCTCCCCTGCTCATCCTCCTGTCTCTCCCCTGCTCCTCCTGTCTCTCCCCTGCTTATCCTCCTGTCTCTCCCCTGCTCATCCTCCTGTCTCTCCCCTGCTCCTCCTGTCTCTCCCCTGCTTATCCTCCTGTCTCTCCCCTGCTCATCCTCCTGTCTCTCCCCTGCTCCTCCTGTCTCTCCCCTGCTCATCCTCCTGTCTCTCCCCTGCTCCTCCTGTCTCTCCCCTGCTCCTCCTCCTGTCTCTCCCCTGCTCCTCCTGTCTCTCCCCTGCTCCTCCTGTCTCTCCCCTGCTCCTCCTGTCTCTCCCCTGCTCATCCTCCTGTCTCTCCCCTGCTCATCCTCCTGTCTCTCCCCTGCTCCTCCTGTCTCTCCCCTGCTCCTCCTCCTGTCTCTCCCCTGCTCCTCCTGTCTCTCCCCTGCTCATCCTCCTGTCTCTCCCCTGCTCACCCTCCTGTCTCTCCCCTGCTCCTCCTGTCTCTCCCCTGCTCATCCTCCTGTCTCTCCCCTGCTCCTCCTCCTGTCTCTCCCCTGCTCCTCCTGTCTCTCCCCTGCTCATCCTCCTGTCTCTCCCCTGCTCCTCCTGTCTCTCCCCTGCTCCTCCTGTCTCTCCCCTGCTCATCCTCCTGTCTCTCCCCTGCTCATCCTCCTGTCTCTCCCCTGCTCCTCTTCCTGTCTCTCCCCTGCTCATCCTCCTGTCTCTCCCCTGCTCATCCTCCTGTCTCTCCCCTGCTCCTCCTGTCTCCCCCCTGCTCCTCCTCCTGTCTCTCCCCTGCTCCTCCTGTCTCTCCCCTGCTCTCCTCCTGTCTCCTCCCTGCTCACCCTCCTGTCTCTCCCCTGCTCCTCCTGTCTCTCCCCTGCTCATCCTCCTGTCTCTCCCCTGCTCATCCTCCTGTCTCTCCCCTGCTCCCTCCTGTCTCTCCCTGCTCATCCTCCTGTCTCTCCCCTGCTCATCCTCCTGTCTCTCCCCTGCTCATCCTCCTGTCTCTCCCCTGCTCCTCCTGTCCTCCCCTGCTCCTCCTCCTGTCTCTCCCCTGCTCCTCCTGTCTCTCCCCTGCTCCTCCTCCTGTCTCCCCTGCTCCTCCTGTCTCTCCCCTGCTCCTCCTGTCTCTCCCCTGCTCATCCTCCTGTCTCTCCCCTGCTCATCCTCCTGTCTCTCCCCTGCTCCTCCTGTCTCCCCCTGCTCCTATCCTCCTGTCTCTCCCCTGCTCATCCTCCTGTCTCTCCCCTGCTCCTCCTGTCTCTCCCCTGCTCCTCCTGTCTCTCCCCTGCTCATCCTCCTGTCTCTCCCCTGCTCCTCCTCCTGTCTCTCCCCTGCTCCTCCTGTCTCTCCCCTGCTCCTCCTGTCTCTCCCCTGCTCCTCCTGTCTCTCCCCTGCTCATCTCCTGTCTCTCCCCTGCTCCTCCTGTCTCTCCCCTGCTCCTCCTCCTGTCTCTCCCCTGCTCCTCCTGTCTCTCCCCTGCTCACTCCTGTCTCTCCCCTGCTCCTCCTGTCTCTCCCCTGCTCCTCCTCCTGTCTCTCCCCTGCTCATCCTCCTGTCTCTCCCCTGCTCATCCTCCTGTCTCTCCCCTGCTCCTCCTCCTGTCTCTCCCCTGCTCATCCTCCTGTCTCTCCCCTGCTCCTCCTCCTGTCTCTCCCCTGCTCCTCCTCCTGTCTCTCCCCTGCTCATCCTCCTGTCTCTCCCCTGCTCATCCTCCTGTCTCTCCCCTGCTCATCCTCCTGTCTCTCCCCTGCTCCTCCTCCTGTCTCTCCCCTGCTCCTCCTCCTGTCTCTCCCCTGCTCATCCTCCTGTCTCTCCCCTGCTCATCCTCCTGTCTCTCCCCTGCTCCTCCTGTCTCTCCCTTGGCTCCTCCTCCCCTGCTCATCCTCCTGTCTCTCCCCTCTCCTCCTGTCTCTCCCCTGCTAACCCTCCTGTCTCCCCTGCTCATCCCTCCTGTCTCTCCCCTGCTTTCTGTCTCTCCCCTCTCCTCCTGTCTCTCCCCTGCTCCTCCTGTCTCTCTCTCCCCTGCCTCCTGTCTCTCCCCTGCTCATCCTCCTGTCTCTCCCCTGCTCCTCCTCCTGTCTCTCCCCTGCTCATCCTCCTGTCTCTTCCCTGCTCCTCCTGTCTCTCCCCTGCTCATCCTCCTGTCTCTCCCCTGCTCACCCTCCTGTCTCTCCCCTGCTCCTCCTCCTGTCTCTCCCCTGCTCATCCGGTCCTGTCTCTCCCCTGCTCATCCTCCTGTCTCTCCCCTGCTCATCCTCCTGTCCTCTCCCCTGCTCCTCCTCTCTCCCCTGCTCCTCCTGTCTCTCCCTGCTCCTCCGCCTGCCTCCCCCTGCTCCTCTCCTGTCTCGCCCCTGCTCCGTCCTGTCTCGCCCCTCTGAACCATCCTCCTGTCTCTCCCTGCTCCTCCTCTCTGTCTCTCCCCTGCTCAGTCTCTCCTCCCCTGCTCTCCTCCTGCTCTCCCCTGCTCCTCCTGTCTCTCCCCTGCTCATCCTCCTGTCTCTCCCCTGCTCAACCTCCTGTCTCTCCCCTGCTCCTCCTGTCTCTCCCCTGCTCCTCCTGTTCTCTCCCCTGCTCCTCCTCCTTCTCTCCCCTGCTCCTCCTGTCTCTCCCCTGTTCCTCCCTCCTGTCTCGCTCCCCTAGCCTCCTCCTGTCTCTCCCCCCTTGCTCCTCCATCCTGTCTCTCCCCTGCCTCATCCTCCTGTCTCTCCCCTGCTCATCCTCCTTCTCTCCCCTGCTCATCCTCCTGTCTCTCCCCTGCTCTCCTGTGTCTCCCCTGCTCCTCCTGTCTCTCCACTGCTCCTCCTCTCCTGTCTCTCCCCTGATCTCCTCCTGTCTCTCCCCTGCTACCCTCCTGTCTTCTCCCCTGCTCCTCCTGTCTCTCCCCTGCTGTCTCTCCCCTGCTCCGCCTCCTGTCTCTCCGCCCCTCTCCTCCTGGTCTCGCCCCTGCTCATCTCCTGTCTCTCCACTGCTTCCTCCTCCTGTCCTCTCCCCTTCTCCCCTGCTCCTCTGTATTTCCCTGCTCCTCCTGTCTCTCCCCTCGGCTCATAAGACCTCCTGTCTCTCCACTGCTCCTCCGCGCTGTCCTCTGTCTCCCCTGCTCCTCCTGTCTCTCCCCTGCGCCGCCTGTCTCTCCCCTGCTCATCCTCCTGTCTCTCACTGCTCTCCTCTGCCTCGGCTCTCCTCTCCCCTGCTCCTCCTGTCTCTCCACTGCCTCCTCCTCATGGCACGCCCCTGCTCCCGCTCCTCGCTGTCTCTTCCCTGCTCCTCCTGTCTCTCGCTCCCCCTGCTCTCCCCTGCCATGCCTCCTGTCTCTCCACTGCTCCTCCTCCTGTCTCACCGCCTCTGATACTCCTGTCTCTCCCCTGCTCCTCCTCCTGTCTCTCCCCACTGCTCCTCTCTGTCCTCTCTGGTCTCTCTCTGGTCTCTCTCTCTGGTCTCTCTCTCTGGTCTCTTTCTGGTCTCTCTCTCTGGTCACTCTCTGGTCTCTCTCTCTCTGGTCTCTCTCTGGTCTCTCTCTCTTGTCTCTCTCTGGTCTCTCTCTCTGGTCTCTCTCTCTGGTCTCTCTCTGGTCTCTCTCTGGTCTCTCTCTCTCTCTGGTCTCTCTCTCTGGTCTCTCTCTCTTCCGGTCTCTCTCTCTGGTCTCTCTCTCTCTCTCTCTCTGTCTCTCATCCTCTCTGGTCCCTCTCTGGTCTCTCTCTGGTCTCTCTCTCTGGTCTCTCTCTCTGGTCTGGTCTCTCTCTCTCTCTCTCTCTCTGGTCTCTCTCTGGTCTCTCTCTGGTCTCTCTCTCTGGTCTCTCTCTCTCTCTCTCTCTCTGTCTCTCTCTGGTCTCTGGTCTCTCTCTGGTCTCTCTCTCTGGTCTCTCTCTGGTCTCTCTCTGGTCTCTCTCTGGTCTCTCTCTCTGGTCTCTCTCTGGTCTCTCTCTCTGGTCTCTCTCTCTCTGGTCTCTCTCTCTGGTCTCTCTCTGGTCTCTCTCTCTGGGTCTCTCTCTCTGGTCTCTCTCTCTGGTCTCTCTGGTCTCTCTCTGGTCTCTCTCTCTGGTCTCTCTCTGGTCTCTCTCTCTGGTCTCTTTCTGGTCCTCTCTCTTGTCTCTCTCTGGTCTCTCTCTGGTCTCTCTCTGGTCTCTCTCTGGTCTCTCTCTCTGGTCTCTTTCTGGTCTCTCTCTGGTCTCTCTCTGGTCTCTCTCTCTGGTCTCTCTCTGGTCTATCTCTGGTCTCTCTCTCTGGTCTCTCTCTCTGGTCTCTCTCTCTGGTCTCTGTCTGGTCTCTCTTTGGTCTCTCTCTGGTCTCTCTCTGGTCTCTCTCTCAGGTCTCTCTCTCTCTCTCTGGTCTCTCTCTGGTCTATCTCTGGTCTCTCTCTCTGGTCTCTCTCTCTCTGGTCTCTCTCTGGTCTCTCTCTGGTCTCTCTCTCTGGTCTCTCTCTCTAGTCTCTCTCTGGTTTCTCTCTGGTTTATCTCTGGTCTCTCTGGTCTCTCTCTGGTCTCTCTCTCTGGTCGCTCTCTGGTCTCTCTCTGGTCTCTCTCTCTGGTCTATCTCTGGTCTCCCTCTGGTCCCTCCCTGGTCTCTTGCTGGTCACTGGGGAGGCTGCTTTTCAGATTCATGCTGCTAAAATCTGGAACAGTCTTCCTGAAGATGTGAGACAGGCCTCCTCTCTGACAATGTTTAAAACCAGGTTAAAGACAGTTCTGTTTAGCTGTGCTACAACTGAGGGATTTTATATTTTTATCTTTCTTTTTAATGTGATTATTTATTGTAATGCTATCACTTAGAGTTGCCTTGTGTATGAACTGTGCTATACAATTAAACTTGCCTGTGGAGCCAAAGAAACCAGACGCAGTTGTACACATGTTTATTGCAGGTTCCCTCAGACCTTCCTGGTCTTGGCTCCTCCTAACATCTGGTACGGCGGCAGGAACATCTTCCAGGCCTCGTCCCATCCTCTGAGGGACCTCGGCCTGTTCTTCAGGGCCTCAGGACGAAGCAGAACCCTCCAGGACTCGCCCCACGCCTCCTCAAACTGCGCCTCGTTACTGTCCTCCTGCACCTTCACCTTCTTCACGGCGCCTCCTCTCTTGGGCTTGGGCTGTGTCTTGCCCAGCAGGTGGCAGCCGGCCCACTTCTGGTCCTGCTGCTTCTCCCTCCGGTCCAGGCTGACGTACATTTGCTTCTTGAAGGAGGTTTTCTTGCTGAGGATCTCTCTGGGGTCTGTCGCTCGTCCTGGAGCCTTCTGACCACACAGCTCTGGACTGAAGCTTTGCAGGAACTGTTGCGAGCCACACCACAGTTTGGTGACTCTGATGTTGTTGGTGAAATCTGCTTTGATGTCATGTCCCCTGCTCAGCCTCTGGTTTGGCCACAGGACTTGGTAGAAGCACGGGTTGGGAGAGCTTTTCATCCACGGTTCTTCAGTTTTGGGCATCGGATTAGCCATCCTGAAGGACATCCCCCACTTGGACCCATACTCACTGCTTCCACCCTGAACATTCGACTTTCCATCAGCAGAACCTTTCTTCAACATGGACCCAACCTTCCAGGATCCCGCCCACACATTGTCAACACATCTTTCTTGGGCTACGTTCTTCTCGGCTCGTTGGAGAGAAACCACGTCTCTCTTGGCTGCAATCTCCAACGCCAGGCTCACCCATTGCGTCCCCATCAGCCGTCGGTTGCATTGATAGTTCCCGCTCTGGAATAATGAACATTTCCAGGCCTCCACCCACTGCGCGTACGAAGGTTTGTCGTGACGGTGCTGAGTCTCGGAGACCCTCCAGGCCTCTTGCCAATCCCCGGGCGACCGCTGCCTCTGAGGGAGCCAGACAGGAGGGCTAACGGGGTTTGTGTTTGAACCTCTTTGGTTTGCGTCTAGTGGGCGTCTTGACATTCTCCAGGATTCGTTCCAAGTTCTCTCCCCCGCTGGCCCATTCTTTGGTAGTTCAACTGGAGCAAAGTGGTTATAAGCACGGTTCACTCTCATTTGGGGAGTTGCACTCCAACCTTTCTGCCACATCTCTGGAGTTTGATTCCCTAAAGATGGAGCTGTATATTTCCATGAGTCCTTCCATTCACCTGCTCTCTGGTCATCAAACGGCTTCGGCTGGACACGTCTCTGTCTCTGAGTGGTTCTAAGTTGGTGTTTAAGCATCTTCCAGGAGTCTTTCCACTCTGGACAAGCTGACGCCTTCTCCAGATCCTTCAACCGCAGCATCACTGAGTGGGTCACTTCTCTTCTGGCAGGAAACAGGACGGACTGTCTTAGCTGCGAGAACTTTGAGGCCGCATCAGAGGAGCACAACTCGGGCCTTTCCTGAACTCTCACAGCTTGTTCCATCTTGGGTGGTTGAGTCTTCAGAGTTTTCTCGATCTCTGGGCTGGGCTTGTTGTCATTCTTGATCACTTGCCAAGACTTGGCCCACTCTGAGAAGGCTTTGAACTCTTCCTCGAGATCCGAGAAAGAACGGTGTGACTTACGTTTATCAGCAAACACGATTTCTTTTGAAGTGTGCTGGTCGGCCTTCCCTTCGATGGCGGAGCCCTCGGAGCTGTTCTGAACTGGAAAGGCAACGCTCCAGGACTTGAACCACTCTGGGCTGTGGACCTGACGGACTTCTGGAGTTTTGGTGATCCCATGATGATTTGACAGTCTCCAAGCTCCAGCCCATTCAGAACTCTGACCGTTGTCTCGGTTCTCAGGGGCAGCCTTTGCGACTGAACCAGCGATGTCTTCGTTGTCGCTTGGTTTGGTGGATTTCCAACCATTGCTCCATTCTGAGCAGTACAGATCGCTGTTGTGGCGATGAGACTCCACCAATGACGTGAAGAGACCATATTTGGGTGTTCCTGTCTCAGAAGAGTTATCTTTATTCCCTTTGTTGGCGTTTCTCCAGGACTCACTCCACTCATGGCTGCAGAGAGTCGAGGAAGGCTCTTCTTCTGGAACTCTAAGCACAGGCTTCTCCCAGAGTTGCAGCGCCGCGTGGTTGATCTGGCAGGGGCCGTTGGGCCAGGGCTTCCCCGCCTCAGTGAATGGTTGCCGGGTTGCAAACTTCCAGCATTCCCCCCAGTTTGAAGGAGTGATGCTCTCCTCTGACTGCGGGAGCTCTTTGCTGAACTTCCAGGACTTTCCCCAGACCATGGGTGAGGGCTGGGAGGTCGTGAGGCTCTTCAGGCGGTGTGCCTTGCCCACGCCGCTGTCCTGGCCCTTCTGCCCTTTGCCTGGAGC